TGAAATAAGAGAGCGAACAGCAGTAGAGGGACTACGCCAGGCTGCTTTCAGGAACTTTCATTTTTAAAAGAACCCGGTTTGCCATATAAATCTGAGAATATTCAGCTCCGGTCGACATTCCCATTGTTCAGTCCAGGATCCCTTCTCATGAAATGGCTGCAAACTTCCTCCCTCTTGCTCTTCAATCGGGAACAGCAGAGCAGCCTACTGAGCATGCCCAGTGCAGCCTATGTCAGCGAATCTACTAGATTGATCATGTAACCGGAGTTGGGGCTGTGCATGTGTTGGAAGCTGGATGTAAATCTCTCTCTCTCTCTCTCTCTCTTTCTCTCACTCTCACTCTCCATCTATCCATCCCCCCATTAACAGAATTCCACGGAATCATTCTGGCATTGTCTGGATGCTGGAAGGAACGTGTCTTTATTTGACTTTATGCTTTTTTCTTTAGAGCTTGGCCAGAATTAATAATATCCTTTTCTGTCTAGTTTTCGGTGTCTGCCTTGCAGTGCAGCTTGGCATTCGTCTTCACTTGCTTGCTTAGTCCGTGATACTTGGTGAGGCTGACATTACCGCCATTTTCTGTGCTCCCAAACGTTTGCTTTGTCTGTGATGGTTGATGAGGCCGACGTTACCGCCATTTTCTGTGCTCCCATACGCTTCCCGCCCCCGGTAGAGGAGCTTCTGCATTCAGTTGTTGGTTCGAGGGTGATTCGGGGTTCACGCAGCACATCGGGGACTGGGAGACAATTTGAAGGCCTTTAGGAAAGTGGACCAGAACAACATCTGCGTGCCCATTCCATGCTGGGGGGGGGCGGATAGGTGCGGTCCTGTAGTTTTGGTGCTGGAAGGTACTGACCCGAACACCTGCTGAGTTCCTGCATCATTAGGCTCTCAAAGTGGAACCCAGCCCTCCTTTTATTAGCGGGGAGGCTAGAACCGGTTCCAAAGGCTGGTTGTACGCAGATGATCTCCGTGGGTGGAGAATGATGACCAAGCATGCAACGCAGGAGCACAGCGGTGAAATCAGATGTGCTCGTAGAACCCTTGAGAGGCCATTTTAGGCTAAAGTACAAGGACTTTGGATTACGTATCTTCCTGTGTATTTGCAGAGCATGTTGGGTTAAATCATCAAAGCCTGTCCTTGCTTGGAGTATCGGTGGAGCTGCTCCGAGTAGCTGGTGCTGGTCTGGGGCTCCGCTGCTGTTTACCATCTGGGGGGGGCGCAGTCCTTGCACCTACTCATTAGTGGCCCCCTGTGAGTCACCCTTAGTGATGCTGGAAAAGGAGGAACCGCTTCTTGGGCTCTCAGGAGTGTCTGTTCTTGCAGGATTAAGGGTTTTGTGGGGCGGAGAAAGGATGTTTTTAAAAAAAAATTTCCCCCCAATTTATTTATTTTGCCAATTTTAAAAAAAACTGGTTTTACTCTGTGCAAACATGATGCAGGCAGACATGAGCTCGGCCACACGATGACAGGTCGCTTGGACACACCACCTATCTGCTTTTTTTTTTGGGGGGGGGGGGGGGGGTTACAGGAGGTTAAAAACAACAGGGTTTTCCCAGAAGCCAGCCCCCGCTCCCTCTGAAAAATGGTCTTTTGGTTGCAAAGGCCCAAAAACTGCACATTATTGGTCAAAACCGCCATGTTGACGGGATCGTCTCGGGCGAGTCTGCCGAACAGGCCGACCTGCGAGGAACACGAGCCGCGCGGCGCTGAATGCGCCTTCATTTCTCTCCAGATGGGAAAACTGGAAAGGTTATATTTATTTTTGGCTAGGAGGTAGGGGTATGTAGTTACCGAGGTTAAGGGGGGTATTGAGAGCTTAGAAGTACTGCAGAACAATGCTGGCTTTGCTGACAAAGAAAATGAATATATTACACAGAGAAAAAAGCCTTATTTTCAGAGAGCTTCTGTCAGATGATCTCTGCTGCTCCAAAATGGCGGAAAGGATCCCTACTGAGCATGCTCCTGAATCTTCTGCTTCAGATGTATATTGTCATGCTTTCTGTTGAGGCCCGTTTTTGGTCTTTCCTAGGCTAACTTACATAGCCTTATGGCTCTAGGCTGGCTACTAAACGGAAATGGTCCTGCAGCTAAATATCACTTAGCGCTGCAGTGCCAGACCTTAAGATTCATGCCTCCTCTTCCTGCTGATACATAGCATCTCTTACCCCTTAAATAGATCTGTATTAAAGATCATCATCGTAGGGCTGTACAGCAGCTATCGCTTGACCGGGAAAATATTGATGCCTCAGCAGACTGAAGTAGGAGCTATGAAGCCTGTTCTATCAGCGTGGAAGTTACTTCTCAGAAGTCTACAGGATAAGCTTAAATGCCAAGGGAGTAGCTTTTGATGTGGCCGGTAGCGATGTGTCCCTATCGATATTGTGGGCGTTGTGTGTGCTAGGGGGGGTGCAGGGGTGGGGGCAGATTTGCTCCCTACCCATGCTGAAACCAAACCTACACCCTTGTTAAATGTAATTTTTTTTTAAAAATTTTCCTTCATAAACATGGGGACAATTTTTAGAAATTTATATATAGAAACAAACATGCGTATTTCCCCGAAGGAAACTGCAGGTTTATTATCAGTGAGTTTCTGAGCCCAGATCGGAATCGGGCCCGATCCGGGCATTTTTTAATCGATCGATATCAGCCTACCCACCGTCCCGCCTATTTAATTTCCCGCATCCAGCCAGTTTATGTCAGTTGCACGGATTGAAAGGTTCTGTCGCACGCTGCACTGAGCCTGGGGCTCGTGCCTTGAAACTACAAACTATTGCAATGTCAGCCATGTGGAAATTCTTTCAACCGGAAACTCAAAGTAGCCCAACGGCTACCTACAGTGTTTACAATGCCATTCTTTTGAGAGGAAGTAGCAACGCAGTGTCATTTAATATAATAAATCTAATTCTGTACTTGCAGAAACACCATAATGAAGAATACTGTGAAATCACAAGGCTTTCTCTACCACCTGCTGTATGTGTCTGTATTTTGAAATATTTATTAAAAGATCGGATCGGGACTCTGGATCGGCAGATATAAATATTGAATGGATCGGATCGGGGTACTCATTGGATTGGGACATCCCTACTTACAATAGTTCAAGACACACAGACCGTAAAATGACATTTCAACATTAACAGACGACAATGAACAGTAACAGTGCAAAGAGCAGTTAGTATGAAATTCTGTAGTGGCGGCTCAAATAAATAGCATTGCAGAGTGAACAAATTGAATGGCCAGTGTATGTGCAGGATGGGGACAGGTAGAGCGTAATGGCCGAAGATGGGAACGACCTATAAACGGTGGGGCCTTGTGTTAGGTGGCGATGGTCAGTCTCTGCATGGTCACCCCTGTGATACGTGTGCTGGTGTAGTCTGGGGGGTGTGGGGGGGCTCACTGCTTGTCACAAGTGGCTGGTTAGGAAGATCGTGCTTCAGGGAGTGTCCCAGAGGGCCACAGGAGTCTGTGTGGGGGGGCTTTTTGTGGCGTGGACACCAGCGAGGGATAACCATGGTCTTAGAAGGCCATACGGACTGGCCGTTTCCCAGTGGCCTAGCAGAAGTGTCACAAGTCAGTTTAATTTTAACTGACATTGATGTTTCGCCCCAATCAGAGGTCGCTGTTCTCTGACTTTAGTGCGTCTTTAAACACAATCTTGATCTTTTAAAGACTTGTTACAAAGTAGCAGTGTACCCAAAGCACCCCATAGCATCATCTGTGTGTGCTCCTGCGCAGACACACACAAAACCTGTGTCCTTGGGTGGAAAATGGGATATGAGAGGAAAGCCAGGGATGGCCGCAGTGCCACCCGGAGTTTTTGCGGTGGTCATGGACTTTCACTGATAGCATAGCAGTCAGCAGCCGGGACCTTCGTCGAGGGTTAAAGTTCAGGAGTCTGGCGCAGGCCTGCTTGTGAAACCTCTGTCAGGTTTTCTTTTGGCTAGTTGGAGTCGTTCGTTTTGTAGAGAGTAGCAAATGATTTTCTTTGTTTTGCAAGCACTTGTGTGAGACTAGGAAAGCAGGGTTGGTTGGCTGTGGGTATTTGTCATGTTTTTTTTTCCATAGACATGTCAATGACGGACATTGGAGGGTCATTCTCAGTGTCGGGCTGCATGCATCTGGGTACAGCTTTACCTAAAGATCCCGGTGGATCAGGGGGGGACATACCCGGTGCTGATAGAGGCTTGGGGTCCTGACACACCTTTCAGCTGAGCTGTGACATCAGCGCTGATGTCAGTGGGATTTCCGCCTAATGGGTGGGTTTCCTCTTTCTCGTCAAGCATGAGAGCGAAATGTGTAAGGGTATAACTTGGATCTGTTCTGTAACTGGATATTTTTGAGGAGAAACCACCTCGGAGTGTCTGAAAAAAGTATGCAGTGCATTTCACTGTCTTGCAATGAGTGGTTTTGTTTCGCAAGACGACATCTTTTCCTTTAGCTCGCCCTCTGCTGGTGAGACATGCCCCCCCATTCTGCCAATTGCAGGCTATGTTTCCCTTTGGGTATAAAATTTTGAAAATGCTCATGGCAAAATAATATAATTACTTCTGACACTAATGTGCAACATAAATCGGTCTTTTTTTTTTTTTTTTTAAGTCAAATCTGCATGTCAGTTTTTTTTTGTCTAGCATAAAATAAGCAATTCATTAGCCAGTGTAACCTACGAAGAACTCAATCTTTTGTTGGGATGCTTGTACTGTAATCAGTCTTAGAGCTTTTTCTGAGGCTCTTGTCTTGTGTTCTTTTAACGTGTCCGTCATGCTTGGCTTGGCAGCACTAATGGTTCAGTTCCTGGAGGCCAGTTTCCTCTTAGGCTCAGTCTTGCTAAAAGCTTCTGGGGAGATACATGGAAGCTGAAGGATTCCTCTTCAAGGAGCCTTGGCTACTGGTCCTTGAGCTCAGCAGATCGAGGCCTCCATCGTAGGGCCCCCCTCATACCTTGCTCGTCCTGAAATGGCTGCTCGCATTCACCAGCACGGAGCAGCAGCGGCAGAGGGAGAGAGAGGGGGAGAGAGAAAAAAAAACAGCCACTGAAATTCGAACTCACTGAGCATGCTCGGTCTGAAACTGCGCGAAAGCAACCAACAGAGGGAGCCGGTGGGTCACATGACCGGAGCTGGGTGAATGTGCATGCGGGGAGGAGAAGGGAAGAGGAACAATCTGTTCGAGACTCCTTCTCTCCTTTCTCTTCAATGGAAGCCATCAAGGGAAAGGTACGACTGAGCCTAGTAGACCGATTTTACTTAAGGCTAGAGGCCTGATTTACCTTTTCGAAGCATCTGTCTCCTTCCTTTGAGATGTATTGACTCATTTTTTTGGTGTTTTGCTTTATAATCTCTTATTTGTCACTTTTCAGGTTTAATCCATTAAATGACATTTCCACTCCTGGTGTTTGAATTAGAGCGTTCTTTTTTTGTTTTTTTTTTTGATCATAGCTCTGCGAGCCGTCTCTGGGCTCCAGACTGCAGGTTAGTGCAGATGTCTTAGCATAACACCCCTAATCAAGGCCTCTTTTCCTTTGCAAAGAGAACCCAGGTAGGGGCAGTGGTTCCGGTGGTCCGGGGATGTTAGGGGTGGCTCCGATGCCTCGTCCGGGGGCTTTTCTGAGGTTCCTGATCTACTCGACCTTTGTTTATTTTTAATTAAAGCAAGGATGTCAGAAACTGCAGCAAAAATGGCTATTCCCGTGGCTTCCATGGGGGGGAGCTGTACCAGTTAGGGTTGTATTGCATTCGGTTGATGTGTTTAACCCTCGGCCCTGCTTTAGGGTTAAGACCAGGAGTAATGAGCAATGGCTCAGGGGGAGATGTCATCACCATGTGGTTCAAGCCAAGACCACGTCATCTTCAACTTGGCTTTCCCACCAAAACTTGCAGCACCTTCCTCAGAACCCCGGCTCTGCGGATACCAGGCGGCCCCTACTTACCCTGTCGTCCTTCAACCCTGACTTGCCAGGTCCTCCACAGTTAGGAGGGCACGAGGAAATGGAAGAAGATCATGAGAGCTGGCAAACAAATGCCCCGGGACAGAGCTTGAAGAGCGTGATCGAATCAGAACATGGACCCATACCGCAGGGAATTACCAGCCATGTTGATGGAGGATCGAACAAAAATCACGCAATTATCAGTTTCTCTTACATTCTGCAGTCCTTTTAGGCCATAAGTGTCCTGGAAGGAGAGAGTCAGTTGCTGATATGTGTTATGTCCTTAGTGTGAGAAACAGCATTTATTCCGCTATTTGCTTGATGCCCCGGCTACATTTAGGGGCCTTCGATGGAATCATACAGCTTTCGGTGCTTTTCTTGGTGTTTCTGGCGTCATTCGGCAGTCTAGGTGTGGTGGTCAGGTTGGCGAAATGGAAGGAGGAATCCTTCAGCAGGACACTAAAACCTTCCTGGGGGCAGTATGTGGGGGGGCATTGCTCAGTGTCCAGTTGGCGGGTCTCGCTTTTGAACGCTCTGTAAGATCTAAGGGGTCTTGATGTATCCCGTGAGGTAAGAGGCTGTAGCTTGTAGCCTGTAAAAGGGATAAATGTTTTTTTCTGGCCAGCCAGTGGCAATAATGGCGTTTCTAAAGCTTGATGACTGGAATCCGCTTTTCGGCCTTGAGGGAGAGACAATGACGGACAGGTGCTTTGCACGGACCCTTAACCTGGTAGACTTACCGCAAATTGTTAGTGTGCCTAGTTTTTTTGTTTCCTGTTTTTTTTTTTTTTTTTTTAGATGGATGTACTCCTGGTTTTTAGTAATGACTGGATGTGGAGTGGATTTTCAGCATAGGATGAAAGATTTTAAGGATCTGTGGCATCTATAACAGAGTTTCTTGTGCTGCTTTTTTATTATTAATCAGTCCTTTTCTGATGAGTTTGTTTTTTGCGGAGTTGATTGTTTACATATTTTGTCTTCTGGATACTATTCAACTGTTCTGCCTCAAACTCCGCAGTCTTTGTTACAGTGCTTCTCTGTATACAGTCATTCTCTGTGCTAGCTGTGGATTTTACCTTCATTTCAGTTTATCAGACTAAGGGTGCATTCGAAAGCCTATAATCTGTGGAATAAGAAAATGGGGGAAAAAAGTGATTGGGTTACCCTCTTGAAAACACTTGCAGAAATGACCAGCATTCTATAGACTGGGCGTTGATGCTGGATGGCTCCTCCTCTGCCTGGTTATTCGTGGTGTTCTGCTGCTCTGAACACTGCTGTGCTGAGCTTTGGTGTTCAGTCTGTGGGTGCCTCACTGCCGCTGGTGGTTTTGGGCTCTTCGCACTAAAATTGATATTTTACTTGCATTTGACACCAATTTCGCTCGTGTAGGGCCACCCCCCCCCCCACACACATACACATTTTCATACATGGATGTGCTTATTCTCTTCTCATTCGACTCCGTACAGAAAGGGGACAAGGATAAGACACCTTTTCATTTGCACTCGAGAGTCCTGTGGCATAACCCCATTGCGAAAGTTTGCAGCTGACAGACCAGGCATTCTGCATCTTCACATGTCGGGTCATAAACAGGTAAATTTAACAGCATGCCTCTATACCAGCCAATGTGCCAATGGTACAATCGCAGGAAACATATTAAAATAGCGAATCCAGTGCCCTGGGACACAAAATAAGCTTGTAATGGATTGTTTGGATATGAGAAGGTTCCTTTAGCTCTAGGCTTACAGCTAGCATAGCCGCTGACAGTCTGAATAAAATTTGGGATCTGCTTGGACGCTGAGGTTCACATGGGAAGTGAACATGGTATGATTTTCAAAATTGAATATTAAAAGTTTAGATCCTTGCAGGTACTTGTGGGTATTATTTTTTTGTTATACTCAGTAGTTATTATAATAAACATTGGCAGCTGCTGTTTTCTCCCTGTCTGGCTTGGTTAAATTGATCAGGGTAGCTTAGCATAAGCTCTGTTTTTAAGCTACCCCATCACCACCCTTATTCCCCTCCCCCACATTGGTGGGGGGAAAAAAAGAAACGGCATGTTGTCTGCGTGTTAGTGAATGGTCACAAAATGGCCTCCCTTCCCCTCTACTGAGCATGCTCCTGCCGGCTGCCTCTAGGGGGAGGGCTTGGGCACACAGAAGACATGCTTACGTTCGTGTCCCCAGGACTACAGCTGGAGAGCACTCCCTCCTTTTGTGTTGCTTTTCTTTTTAGTGTTTTCCAGGCCTAACTGCTGTCTGGGATCCATGTTTCTGTTGTCTGTGGCCTTGGAGCCACACTGAATCCAGGTTTGCCCTCTTCTGAAGGATAAGCCTGCTCACGGCTGGCCAGACTAGCTGATCTTAGCTGTTTAAGTGTTTGTGCTCCGATTCCAGATGTTTCCATGGTGGATGTTAGGGCACTCCCTGCATGCCTGTGCGTTTGCCCGCAGAGCTGGTGCCCTGCGTTGCCGGAAAGGGTGCGGTGAGCTGCCGGCGGTGGCTTGCCCCCCCCCCCCCCCATATGAGACTGGCATCCCAAAAGCTCAGCCCCTTCAGGCTGACCTGAGAGTTTCAGAATAGGACGTCTTGTCTAGGACTGAATAAGGATGTTGTACCCTGGAATCCATTAGTCTGTAGCGGCAAAGATAACTACTCCAGAATGTTGTCAGAGTCCCAGTGGTTTATTTTTTTTTGTCCAACCAGTTGAGTTTTCTTGAATTCATGTGCAACATCACGTACAGCTACTAGATAACTATGCCATTTAAAAAAATCATTTGAAAACCTTTATTTTTTTCTGTGTGCATTTTGTCAAGTGTTGGGCCTTGTCAACGCAACATGCAAGGTTTCTTCAGTACATTAGCTATTTAAACCCCCCCAGAACTGGTGCCACTACTGGGAACAGTCTCTCGTCTCTGAAGGGGGTGGGGGATTATGTAACAGTTGTGAAGAGCGTGCATTTATAAATAGCTAGTCAGAGTCAAAATGAAGGGTGTTCTGGCTGGATTACCTCTGGGAAGCCAGTTAACCAGCAGGGTATCTGTGGGCTGGCGGAGGCTGTAACTGGTAGCGGTAACCAGTGATCTTCCAGTTTCAGCTGTGGCTGCATGTAGCGGAGTCACGGAACTGAACGGGCGACACCGGTCTGAATGGCAGATCCCTAGGGGGGCTGGTGTTTCCAAGGAAATGCCCGACAACAAAAACCATCTTTAAGCTAAATGGTGAGGTTAATATAATTTCACCCCTAATGACCCAGGGGGCGCTGTGGGGGCAGTCTTCGCATGCTGCGATGCATGTTCCTCCTCTGTGGAGTAGCACAGGGTCGACACTGGTCCATGTGCTCATGAGGCGGTGATTTTGTGTAGAACTATAGGATTTAAGCACCACTGTTGGGAATATGTAGGACACGCAAGCTGCCATCTACTCTTTATTGTGAGTGGGGGTGGGGGACTTTTACTCTGAAGCGGCTTCTCCGTCTGGCAAGCCTGCTTTTGTCATGGGAGCCATTTGCAAACAGATGCTATAGATGGCGCTATTGATGGCACCCCTAGACTGGCGTACGCACTTACCAAAGCTATTCTTGGTGTACTGGTGGTGGGTTTTGTTTTTCGCTTCTGTGTTTTGACTTCCTATATCGTGTTATGTTGTTTTTTTTTTTTTTTTGCCCCTCCCTTTCCATGTCCCTTTTCTAAGATGAAGGTACTGTTAGCGTCTGAATCCACCTAAACGGAGGTACTGACAGGACCTCTGTGTCCACAGAGGCACAGTGTAGTCACCAGCTCACGATCTGGCCCTATTGTCACTCATTTCATACGGCTAATTTCCTGACCCGAGACGCTTGTTTTTTTTTATACTTTTTCACGCCATAACCTGTTCGTACTGCGGGTGGAGCTGTAGTTTGCAGTATTTAGTACCACTATGTGTCACCAGGAGACATCAAGGGCAGCCAGGTAAGGTCGTGGTATGTGTGGGTGCAGGAATTGGCAAAGCTAACAGTCATGGGCAGTCCTGAGGTGGCAGCGGGCATTTCCGGGACGGATGGCAGCCCGTAAGGACCAATCTCCTGGTGGCTGCCTCCTAATCTCCCGCCTCCCTCTCTGTCCGTCTTTCTCGTCTCAAGATCAACCGTTTTGACAGGCACAGCGCATGTGAGATTAATGCTATACGGTCGTCAGTGTTTTGATGTGGTGCTTTGATAGTAAATTCCAGAAGATGAGGAGAATTGCAGAACATGTCTGGTTTTCTTGAAGCATGTCCTGCTTTTACATGAGTAGGGCAGTAGTCCAGTGGAGGATTGATGTGTTGATGACTTGATGTGTGTGGGTGGGTGTGTGGGTGGGGGGTGTGGTGGTTACATAGATCACATTTGGAGACCAAGATGTGGTAAAACTTTCTTTCTTTTGGGGACATTTTTCAGGTCTCAAATTGGATAACCTCGATTTTATAAAAATGTGCGACTGCAATCAAAAAACTAAACATGCTAAAAGACTTGTAGTTAAGTCATATAGTTAAGGTTAGGGCTGGGTGGGGGTTAAGGGTGTCATGATTGGGTTTTTTCCTATAGAAATGAAGGGAAGGTCCCCATTGTTTGTTTTTTGATTCTGGAAAATTTCTCTGTAGTTCAGTTGGATTAGTATCCGAATGCTGTGCACACCATCGGCTGGGACACCTTTCAAGGTGTACACGGTGCAGCCCGGTCTTCCGGCGCATCCCCGCAGCCTGCTGCCCTCGCTGCATTCGGGGGGCCTTTTTCCTGCTGTGCCGAAGGGTGGCGTTCATTCTTAGCGCCAGAGACAGCTGTGTCATAGCCAGAAGGCCGAGGGGGGGGGGCTTGCATTCGTGACCCGGGAATGCGGCAGTGTGGTCATCCTTATATCAAAATGTCCTTATTCAATGCCGATTCATTGCTGGAACTCAAGAACTTATAAATACAGGCAAATATGGCACCTTCGTCTCGGTCTCCGGCTTTCCTTGAGTTTGGCTTCATTTGTGTTCCCTTACTCCTGTCAGTTTGCTTTCTTGCTTTCTGTAAAAGGCCAGCGATCTGGCAGCGGCAGGCCTGAGATGGGGAATGAAGGCCTTTGCTAGGGCTCTGTTCCTTTCCCTGCCTAAGAATGCTGATAAGATTAATCTGATACGAAGGCCTCTGCTTTTCAGTTGTTGTGCTTGTTTCTATCAGACGTCTCCTGAGGCTGGACTCCTGTTTCAGGGGAATGGAAATGTGGCTTTTTCAAAAGTGTGTGTGTGTGTGTGTGTGTGTGAGAGAGTGACCATCTTGCATTTATGCCTGCTTATAAATCCCTACCATCATCATAGGCTTGTTTAGCCATTTGTTAGACTTACCGGATGACAAACACTTATAAGAGCATGAGAGAACACACTTGTTTGTCCTGTTCTTCCCAAACTGGAATCCGAAGCTCTTCATCTTCCCGAACTTCCTTTTGTTGCGGAAAGTTCCTGTAATGCAGTCTGTGGCTCGACACCTGACGACAAATCATTGTCCCTCTCGGCATACCATGTCCAGACAGACCTCTGTCAGACTGGCAGAAATTCCTTTGCAACGAATTAGGAAATTCATAACTTGCCCAATAGCTGTATCTCTAGCTCCCTCCTTTGGTAGAAAACAAGAAGGACATAGAGTGAATATGGTAAAAGGCCCATCCAACTGAGCTGTAACGGTAGTAGTTTCTGCTAGCAAGGAGTATATCCAGAGCTGTTATGCATTTCAAAGCTTTTTAAACCAGGTGACCAGATCATTTATAGGTTTCAGCAACATGTTCAGACTCTGCATGAGCTTTTAAGCTTGACGTATTGTAGGCCACATGGGTTTGTGTTTTGATTGTAGTGATTCTCAGTGGAAATAAGTAATGCGTCCCTGATCTGAAGAGGATCACAGCCGTCCATGTGGAAACGAATCCAATGCATTTTATGTCTGGGTTGTTTTTTTGTGACTGAGTTGAACCCCTGTTTCCTCCATTCCCGAAACTCCTGGCCTTCCTGGCCCTGACTGTGCCCTAGTAGATTGGGGGGGGGGTTCAGAATATGTCCATCTCAAAAGTTGACGTTCCACATTCCTCTCAGCCCTCAGGTTTGGCCAAGGCCGTCCTGGGGAGGGGTGATTCCATGAAGACTGATGTGATGAAGGAACCTCTCTGCATTAAAGAGGGGGGTGAGTAAGAGGCAAAACCCATCCCCCCATCATCCCACGCCATACCTTATTCAGCAGGTTGTATGACTCTTCAGTAATGCAGGAATTTCTTGGTAGCTATGATTTATTTTCTTTCTTACTCTTCAGGTAACGATGACGTGGCAGTGGACAAGAAAGGACATGCCCTCAAGAACGAGAAGGAGGTGAACGGAATCTGTGAAAGGCTGGAGCTTGGAAAGGGCCACCAAAGCTCTGGGCCCCATCTCCCTCAGGACAGCAAGGCGGGGAGGCAGTCGGAGTGCGGCCCGCGGGCGCGCATCAGCGAGAACGGGCTACCGGAAAACGAGGCGCCCCACGGCTCCGTAACTGGTAGCAACGGCTTCGTTTTGGCCAAGCAGCAGCCAGAAGGGGGCACCCCACACAGGACTAGTGGGTCACCCATAGGTGGCGCTTTAGTGGGACACGCCGCCAAAACACTGCCCCCGTCCTCGGCACGGGCCAGGAATGTGGGATCCGTAAAGACTGATGGAGGTGCGGGGATGGGTGTGGCCACAGACGGCCGGGCGGAGTCAGAGACTAAAAATGGCACGAGCCAGGACCCTCCGCCAGTGACTATACACCGGGCTCGTAAAACCATGGCTAGACCAGCCTCCAACCAGCCAACACTAAAGGTAACGCCAGTCAGCATCGTGCACACGAAGCATTTCTGACGTGCTCAGTGGTGTCCGATCGATCAACAAAAACGCTTTAATTCCTGATGATTTTCTAACGTTACGGTAATGATGCTAGCAACTGGAATGAAACAAGGAGACTTGACGGTATTGGGCTTGGCCGATATTTAATGTTTCTTACCTTCAAACCATCTTAAGCCGCTGTATGTGGTATTGTGACCGTACTTTCAAAAGCAACGTTATCCCTGTATTGTTAAGTCTTGGTGATAAGATTTGCGGGGGGTGGAGGGGGCAGTAAATTTCACCAAATACTGTCACCTAGATTACATAATGGCACGGTACACCCAAAATACCACAGAATACTGTAACACCTCCCAAACCTAGAAGGTGTATTTTGGGGGTGCAGTGAAACACAAAATTCATGGTTTGTAACGAACTGTGGTTTTGGGTCCGAGATTCGCTGCGATTTTGGTTCCGCAGGAAAAACAAGGAGAAACTAATTTGCAGAGGCGGTTTCTGCCTTGCTCCAATCATACAAATACTTGGATGATTTTGTCTCAGTTAAGTTAGCATGTTGGATGTGTTTCCAGCAACGTATCAGAGTTCGGTATAACAGCCTCAGTCCTGTCTACACTTTCTCCAGTGCTGGTGTAATTTAGTGGGAAACCAAAATGTTACAAAACCGCAGATTATGACTGACTAACTGGCATTAGCTGTTACCAGCTCACAGCTACAATTAGCATAATATTTTCCGTGTTGAGCATGTACTTGTGAATTTAGGTTCCGCCTGTGTCAATAAATGTATTCATGTTTCATTGTCCCCACTGAACCAAAACTGATGTACCAAAGGGTACACAATGAATATGTGTACCGTTACAGCCTTTGGTAGATTCTACCCCTGTCAGGTTTCTCCAAACATTGTCTAGTACATGGTGTGTGTCGATAAAGAAGGCTATGCTGCCGTCTTAACCCATTGATGTTGGTATCAAATTTATTGGGCACCAAGCTGTTCAGTCTGACCACCCATATCATTGACTGAAAGATCCACTGGTATCATGCAAAATATGCTACTCACCATGGTAATGGGTTTTGATTTGGTTCCGTACAGGGAAGCTTGGAAGGATGTGAGCTTGTAACCTGAAAAGGTGTTGGTTCGAATCCCAGAGAGTGATGCAGCACCATTGAAATGTAAATGCATCTAGATGTCTATGTGGGTACAAGTCATTAGTGTCCAACACATGGGCTTCTGAATGTAAATCTTTGTTTTAAAGTGGTATAGTAACATTATGTCGTAGCAGGATTTACTGTGAAATCAACTCGCTTTCACCTGCTGACGTCGCTTAAACAGTCATCACTTTAAAGGGTTCACGGCAATGTTTTCTTCTATACATTAGCTGTCTTCACTGAGTTAACCACTGTAAAGAGTGGTTCATAGTTGTATATGTGGACATGGAAACGTTCATGGTTCTCTGGTGAAGCCGCATACTTTGCACACGTGTACGTTATTATTATAACTATTATTATTATTATTATTATTATTATTATTATTATTATTATTATTATTATCATTTTATTTTTATTATTATTATTATATTCCCAGCACACATACCACCCATTGAGGTTTGTGTCAGTTTCTCTTTGTTTTACTAATTGAGCCAGCTCACCAGGTTGCCAACTTGTGGTGAGATTTTCGAGAAGTCTGCACACACATGCACACGCATTTACATGCATGTAATGCTTTTATTACCTTGTAAATAGTCTGTAGGCTGTTCAGAGCTGCACGTTCACGGCCGCACAGGCACGGATTTGGAGCGCGGCGACGTTTGTCCACGGAGACGGTGATGTCAGATGCGTCGTAAATGTTTGTGCGGACTTTTCCGCTAGTACCCATGCGGAGACGTATGAACCAACCTTAAGAGTTACATAGAAAACAGCCAAAACCAGCCCTGCTCCAAAACCTTAAATGCCGGTCATGGAAACAGAAAAATCACCCAAAAATGTATGGCCTGTTAAGTACATTTTTCTTATAGTTTTGTATCTGATGATAAAAATGGCCGTGTGTGGTTTATATATGAGCATAAACAATGAAAAAGGACTGTGAGAACTGCAGTTGGTTCAGCCTACAAGGTAATGCAAGTCAGTTTCTTACATCGCTAATGGTGAAGTATTTTATTAATGGTGTAACGGTTACGAAACCAAGACCGAAACTGCGATACAAACGTTCATGATCTTATGCTCAGTTCCGGAAGACAGAACTGCGATATCCCCTCCCAATGCCGCAGGTGTAGCTTGGTGAGCTCTCAATTAAGTTGCTAATGTTACAAAACTCGTTTTCATTTTCACAGTTACAACACTATAATACATGTAAATCACAAAATTATTCTATTTAAGGTTAGGGCAAACTGTATATTTTGAGAATAATATACATTGCACCAGGGGCAGCAAGGTGGTGCGATTGTTACCACTGTTGCCTCAGACCTCTGGGACCTGGGTTCGAGTCTCCACCTGGGTTACATGTGTGTGGAGTTTGCATGTTCTCCCCGTGTCATCTTGGGGTTTCCTCCAGGTATGGTTTCCCCCCCATAGTCCAAAGTCATGCTGAGGCTAATTGGAGTTGCTAAATTGCCCATAGGTGTGAATGGTGTGTGAGTGTGCCCTGCGATTGGCTGGCCCTCCATCCTGGATTGCTCCCTGCCTCGTACCCGTAACTTCCGGGATAGGCTCCAGAACCCAGAAGGATAAGCGGGTTGGAAAATGGATGGATATACACTGCACCTATTGTCTTCCACCTGTGTGTCACGTGACTCTTTTGATCCAATCATGCTCGAGTGATCACGCCTGCGGTAAAAGCCAGGCTAGTTTCATTAGCTAAAGCGGGATGATAATCCTGAGATGGCGGAGCACCCACGCACATTCAGGTCAGCAGTGTGGGAGCATTTCAGTTATCCAGTGGTGTACAGGGATGGCAGCTGTGTCCTAAACATAATGCACACAATTTGTCATAAGTGCAAGCAGGCATCAGAAGACATCATCTCGACACGGAGCGCAGTGGCATACGAAAGATTAATAAAACCCAGAAAATCTTGCTCTATTTTTTGTTTCTTGTGCACCTGTCATATAAAGTTTTAGACGAACTGTGGATTTAGAGAATAGTTACAACCTATGCAACTTAGGACAGCTTATGACAACTTGCACATACATTTGATTTTTTATTTTTTTTTCAGCTAGTTTATGTAAATAATGGTGGGAAAGTACTGTACTGCACGGCAGTGGGACCATCCCAGCCTCACACGCATCTCCCAGTCTCATCCTCACACCTGAAACTCAGTGTGACTATCCTGTATAACCTGCCTACCAGAATGGAATCCAGTCCTTTAGTTGGCAACAGTTTCAATAGCAATTCCAACCATTTCCAATTTGGCATTTGATTGTCTTTGTTACCTAAACCAACATAACAGGAAACTGTGAACCTAAGACACCCCCCCCCCATTTAACTTTGCAAAAAACTATGGGGTGTAACAATCAAAACCATCCAATACAACCCCGTGGACCCCTTTAAATGGGTGGAGATCCCCCCCCCCCCAAGCTCAACCCAAAGTTATTTCCTTCCACTAATCAACTTGCAAGTAACTAACCTGTAGCATGTCAAACAGCAGTGTTAACCAAACCAGTACTGGTGCATGAAAAATCAGCAGTACTCATAGGGTTAATTTTAATGTAATACATAAGCTTCCACCAACAAAATATATCTTTGGTTGCATTTCTGTCACCTTCTCTTATCCATATTTCCTCTGTCTTGCTGCCCAAACATTGCATCCGGCAACCAACTAAAACCTTTAAATGCCTGCATTTGTTTAAATCTTGTTTAGCTGTGAGTTGCTCATTTATGATGGGAAAGTGTTTTAATCACCCAGTTTTTGTACAGGGACTTTAAACTATGTGTAGTGAAGTATTTTTTCTGTCCTCTAGCTTCTAAACAGGGAATCTCAAGAACCAAATGGTGCAAAAGATGAGACTCGGAGTGGATTGGAGGCGGGGAAGCCCCCCCCAGCCCTACCCCCTCAACCTCAGCTACCTCAGAGCCAAAGCGACGCACCGGCGCCCCCCAGCAAGCCTCAGCCCGGTCAGACCCCGCTTGGACCACCCACTCCTCTGAAAACCCCCCCCCTATGGCTCCAACATTCCTACAGTTTTCCTTCAGTCTTCCTTGCTTGGGTTGCTCTGCAAAAATGACCTGGTTTGAAGAGCTGATTCGGGTCCTGGGCCCATGTCACTATTTGCTGTCCCTTCAGACCAAACTAGCTGTATTAATTCTAGGGGTGAATTAATGTCTCAAATCAGTAGATCTCTGAGATGGAGGCAGATTGAATGACAATAACTAATCAGATTTTGAGGAACTGTTTGTTTTTTAGAGAGCAATTGAAGGTTTTTGAGGAAGTTGAAGTAGGGAAATATCTTCATTCTTTCACACTGAAAGTAAAGTTTGGGTTTGCTAAATGGTTTGTTGTGTGTTTGTGTCGTATAGGTGCCATATTCCTTCACAAACCTTAAGCAGCTCGTTTACTTACCATGTGGCTTCCAAACCAGCGTCTTCCTGTTTATGTAGGGAAGGAAGCGTCTTGGTGCTGAAGGTTAACAAAGCAGCTTCTTCAGCTGGCTGTACTTGCTATTCCCGAGGGGCTCCTTCTCCACACGAGGCGGAGAACCCTCAGTCACTTAACCACCACCCTGCTGTCCCAGCAGCCACCGGAGTCTCCCGGAAAAAGAAGAGGAAGATGGGAACGTACAGTCTCGTTCCCAAGAAGAAAACCAAAGTACTGAAGCAGCGCTCCGTGCTGGATCTGTTCAAGGACCTGTCGCGGAAGGCCATCCAGACCCAGGTCAGACTGCGCTCGACCCACCACGGTTTGGCTTCCTATGCGGGTTCACAGGAAGTACCCGCGAGTTTATGCTACACCGGTCCTGGGGCTTTTCCAATATTGTCTTAAGACAAAATGTGCAGCTTGAAGGAGCTATAATCACCTTTCACTCAGTTGATGGCTTCATGAAAATTAGTCTGGGTGAAAATTATCGGGAGTTGTTTGAGATGTGAGATTATTGGGTCTGTGTGACCTTAATCCATGCAGAACACTTATCGTCGATTAAAGGGTCAAAATATTAGCTCTTGGGTTTGGGCCATTATTAATGAAATGGCGGCTTCTGTTATGTCAGCTGAGTCACAGCTAACCTGCCGTCTGCACTCATCAGCAGAAAGGACTCCGAGTGAATGGCGAGAGCGTGGAAAACGAGTCTGAGGAGGAGTCTGAGGAGGGCGAGGATTCCGAGGAAGAGGACGAGCAGGTCGGCGACGAGGCCGGCGCCGTTTCCCGAGAGGAGCCGAGAACTCCCGACGCCGCTCTCCAGGTCGGTCTGCTCGGAGAAAAGGCTGCAGGCTCCTCGTTTGAGGATTGTGGGCCGGTAAGACATTACGCTCCGACGGCAAAGCCTGGAAATGAGATTCCATCTTTCATACTGTTTCTATATATACTAGTTTATGAATGAAAAACACTGTGCAATTCAAATTATGGATATCATGATGGATAACATCACCAAGTGTAATAGATTGAACATGTTCTGAACCGTGTTATGAATGTATCAAAGACACTGATTTCGGATCATAACTCTAAACGAAGGACCAGCTTGTAGGAGAACAGGAATCTGAGGAATCTGGTGACGACGAAGGAGAGGAGGAGGGCAATGACTCAGACCTGGTAATATTTCACCGAATCTGCTATAATACAGACCTGCCCGTGATCAGGAGGTTACTGGTTCAAATCCCATGGTTGGCAGAGTAATTTCAGCATTGGACTTCTGAGCAAGGCCCTTAGCCCTTGATTGCTCCAGGGCCGGGGTCTCCAACGCCGGTCCTGGAGAGCTACTATCCAGTAGGTTTTCTGTCCCACTTGGCTTCTAATGAGCCACACCTGCTCCTGGCATTTACCTGAGAACAGGTGTGGCTCATCAGAAGCCGGGTAGGATAGAAAACCTACTGGACGGTAGCTCTCCAGGACCGGAGTTGGAGACCCCTGCTCCAGGGACTGTCTGACCTTACTTTCTCAGTTCTATGTCACTTTGGATAAATGCATCATCAAAAAAAAAAACTGAACGTTGATAAATAGGAAAACATATAAAAATTGTGCATTGCATGCAGTCTGTGTACTTCTATGTGTGTGTTGTGTTTAGTTACCAGTCATAGATTAGAGCTGGTTTTGCACGTTTTCCTCAAACCGGTGCCACAGTAGCCAGAAAACAGTTTGAGATATGGAGCAGTTTTTTTTGGATGCTACATCAAATGCCCTTTGAGTTTTTAATGTGTCACCCCCATGTCTTATGCCTCACGGCCCTTCAGAGCTCAGAGTCCAGCCTAAAAAAAAGAATGAAAAAGAAAATGAAGGGAGACAAGCCTTGGCTGCAAACATCCAGGAAACGTAAAAGAAAGAAGCAGTTGAAGGCCGAGGGCCTCCCAGGTACGTCCTTTTGACAAATCCCACTGGTAAATGGAGTGTCTAAACGTGCACGGAGTGTGTAAGGCTGGCTGCTGCGCCCCCCGGTGGCTCCCTACCGCGACCGTTTGGTGTGAGACAGCAGATTAGCTTCCCTGGAAGCGAGGAAGAATTTCCTGTTCGAGTCCCGAGAGGTGCTGTTGATCCCTTGAGGGAAAAATGATAGTGTTAATAGTTTTGGGATATGTATATGGCAACCCCCCCACTAGCCAGCAGGACACAATGTATCATCCCCCCTACTTCAAGTTGCATATTAAGTAACATGAGAACTTTGTATGGTATTGGAGTTTTATTCGTACTTAATTTCAGTAGGCAATTTTCAACTCTGTTTGTTCAGTTCGTTATATTAGCTAGAAGTATTGTTTGAGACGCGAGTCAGATCTGGATTTTAATTCGGAGTTTTACAGATCCATATTTGAGGTTAAATTGACTGAATATATAAATGTTACCAAGTTCAGAGAAGCTGTGGATTTGAGTTGCTTTTCTGCAGTGACTCTGAGGTTCATTATTATTCAAAGTATTCTTTTTCGGGACTTTAATTTTAAAGTGCCAGACCGGCAGGGATCGCCCTGACATGAGAGGTAATTATATAACTTGTGGGGCCGCTGACAGTAGATTTGGGAGCTGCTTCTCCGCAGACATGTCTTGAGCTGCTGGAGGACTTTCACACTATAAGTTTATATACTTCCTGCCTTTAGTCTTCATTACTTCACGCCACTTACTCTCATAGTTTTCAGAATATGAAAATAAAATACTTTCGCATACGTCACACATCTGTGGTGATTCTTGGGGTGTAAATTGAAAGGAATTCTGGGTTATATGGAGTGTCTTGATCAAAGTTATGTTTAGCCAGGAAGCTTTTAAATGGTTTTGGATATTATGTTGATCATTGCCACATGCTTTGATCCAAACAGGTAATGAGACGGAGGTCCAGTCACAGATAAACACCAGTAAGGAATACACGGAGGTGCCTCTGGTCTCCTTGAACCTTGAAGTCCAGGAGGAGTTTCTTGTGTCCCAGCAATCAGGTGAGAGGCTTGAGGGTCTTTGTTCCTATTGGTCCTCTTTGTAGAGTCAGGATAAATACAAGCAACGGTTACTGTCAAGAAATGGCTGCCCTTGACGCTCCTTTGTGGTCATGTGTATTGTCTTCTGCTAAAAGCAAGACCCACTGTGTAGACTTTTGTTCCAGGCAATCAAACTTCATTGGGTGGTTAAAAAATACTGAGAAATGGGAGTTGCATATCGACGTAAAGGTTAAGGCTCAAGGTAGAATTTTTCCATCTTAATTTGAGGTCTTCTTTCAAAGTATATAACCAAAATATTGTACAATTGTACAGAATTGTTCCGGAGACGTATAAATGGCAAGAGGACCATGTAAACTTGGCTTTCTTTGGATAACTGCATCAAATCATTGCTCCATTTACTCGGTGTGGTAAACAAACTAGTTGGTAACTATATAATTTGTTTTAAAAAAAAAACAAAAATAAAAAATATTTATTCTGTGGTCTCCAAAAAGGTCTTCTGGGGAAGGATGTGAACCTTACTGCTGTTGATCTTGACCTCCCTACTCATCTGGCCAAATGATCCATGGATATACTTGGTGGAATGGGCTCCCCCTGGTGGTGACTTAAAACACTGTTGTGTAACAGACTGAAGAATTTGGAAGTTTGTCATGCAGTGCCTCGAACCTCATTCTGTACTTTAGTCAGACGAGAATGTTGCAAATCACTTGGGTTTGCTGTAAGACTGAAATATGAGTCTGTTAGAGAGCAGTTTAAAGTCCCTTGGTGATTAAAGGCTCCAGGAGAATGTGTTTCTCATCTGGATGTTTGATTCTCATGTATTTGTCTGTGGGTGTCATCTGCTTGTTGAGCTTTCAAGAAAATGCTTGTTTTGGCCTCCTTCCATACAGAATGAGAGTAAGCAGTATTCTTTATGTCTAGGTCTGCCTGGAGGTCCAGGGGGGGTGGAGACAGACCTGGTGCAGGAACTGCCCCTGTGCAGCTGCCGAATGGAGACGCCAAAGAGTCGAGAGATCCTCACGCTGGCTAACAGGAAGTGCATGGCTACGGAGAGCGTGGATGGGCAGGTAGGCCGGACTCTGTCAATGATTCTAAATGTTCTAAAACGTAGCTCTATCTTTACTTTTGTTTTTTGTTGTTTAATTTCCTTCAACCCTAGGCTACTCTCTCCTTGGTAATAAATACAACAACCAGGAACAGGTCCTAGTTTTTATGCAAATGAACATAATTCTCACCTTCAACACTCTCTCCAAACCATCAAAATGTTCATTTGTGTCCTCGTAGCTAAGTCGCTGTCAGAGCAGTGTGACAAAACACGAGATGATGCGGCCCTCCAACACGGTACAGCTCCTGGTTCTGTGCGAGGACCATCGGGCCGGCATGGTCAAGCACCAGTGCTGCCCCGGTTGTGGCTTCTTCTGCCGGGCGGTAAGTCGACGTCCCTCATGAGCCCGTTTCTAGTCTTGTGCTTCAAGCATTTCAGACTTTGCCAGAATCCACTTTTGATCAGTGCTGTTTGGGATTTCGGGGATCAAAGGAAATGGTGGGGTTGTACATTTCCCCACCTCATTGTTCTCTCAGGGGTATTGTGTCATGGGTCTAATCGTACCCCGTTTCATTGTTACCACCACATCTGGCTCTTCCTGTGTCTCTGAAACTACCGAAGTAGGGGTTCTGGGCTTGACAAGATACCCTCCTTCAACGCAAGAGGATGAGCTAGTGGCAGATTGTTAACTCCCGCATCTTGGTTTGTTTATGTTGGACGGTGAAGGGGACCTTTATGGAGTGCCAGCCGGACAGCAACATCTCTCACCGCTTCCATCGGGCCTGTGCCTCCGTGCTGAAGGGTCAGACCTTCTGCCCGCACTGTGGCGAGGATGCGGGCAAGGCCAAGGAAGTAACTATTGCCAAGGCTGACACGACCTCCATGGTACCCCTCTCCCCAGGCCCGAAGATGCCCACTGTGTCGGAGGGCAAGGCCGACACCACCACTGGGGGGTCTGTCTCTGCTGCAGTTCTCAAATTGTGAAAATATTGTTTACCGTTATCAATGTCATATCATCATTATAACTTGAGCGATTGGCTTAAAGACACCATTCTCCTCCCATTACAGTCTAGCTCATGTGCCCAGGTCTATCGACCACCGAGCAGACAGCTCTTTGCCAAGAACCCCAGAAATGTCTGACACTCAGTCACCTGGGTCCAAGGCTGCCGTGGCCATGGGGCTGGGGGTCGGATCCGCGCCGGCGCCAGGACCACCCAAAGAGACGCTAGAGAGCGTACTCCTTGCTTTGGATGCAGAGAAGTAGGTTTGAAGCACGTTGATGTTAATGGTCACTTCCCATAGAAGATGTTCTGCATACTCCCAATGTTTGTTGGTCATCTCCCTTCTTGAAAATGTTGTTCTGTAGGCAGAGAGTAATAAAGTCTTATTTTACTCTGTTCAAGGCCTAAGAAACTGAGATTCCACCCAAAGCAGCTGTATATTTCAGCCAAACAAGGGGAACTCCAGAAGGTCCTACTAATGCTAGGTAGGTTTTTTTTTGGGGGGGGGGGGGGGGTATGATTTCACTGCCCCCCCCAATCTAAGCTTGTCCTCAGTCATTGAACTTTAAAGCAGAAGGAAAGCCCTGTTATTTACCCTAGTCCTTCTCTTTCAACGATTCTATTTCTTTGCCTTAGTGGATGGAATAGACCCCAACTACAAGATGGAGAGCCAGAGCAAACGCACACCCCTGCATGTAGCTGCTGAAGCAGGACATCAGGAAGTCTGTCACCTGCTTGTGCAGGTAAGGTTTTCAGTACAGTTTCATTTGGGATCAGGAATGTGGTGATTCTGCTAATGCATAGGATTTGGATTTAATTTCTTAGATGTTTGCGCCAACAGCATGCAGTAGAGCACAGACTTGTTGCCATTGGTACCATGAACTGCTTTCCAAATGGATCTTCTGTGGGCAGTAAAGAGAGGTAGGAGGCTGAAAAATAGTCTGATCCGTTCTGTTCTAGGCTGGTGCAAACCTTGACATGTGTGACGACGACCAGAGAACGCCTCTCATGGATGCCTGTGAGAACAACCACTTGGAGACAGTCCGGTATCTTCTCAGGGCTGGTGCCATCGTCAGCCACAAGGTCAGTCCTGACTCCTCGACACTTGCCCCCTTGTGTATTTATGCTGCAATGAGCTGCGGTACCCTAGAACTTTGCTTAAGAGATCACAAATTTTTGCTCTTCAGAATACAGAAAGGTTCTAAACATCCCGTGAGTCTTTCAGTTCATGTTAATGGGATCTGAGGAGTTCTTAGAATTTAATGAGGGTTATTAAAATAGCAACATTTAGGAAGGCAGCCTGGCTTTCAGTGGGCCCTCATTCAGCTGTGATGGGGTGGTTTCCTGTAGCCTGCTATCCTCGAGTAATCGGACCATCCGTTTCAGGATGTGGAAGGCTCCACCTGTCTGCACCTGGCTGCTAAAATAGGACACTATGACATTGTACAACACCTGCTGGATACCTGCTCCATAGATATCAACTGTCAGGTGGGAAGATGCTCTGGCTCCGTCATCCTTGTTGCTGGCATGTGTTGTGGTCATGGCTGCTGGGCAGTTCCCACCATACGTTTGTGTACATGAACCCATCACTGTCCTTCACAGTCTGGCCTACACTGAGCTGCCGTTCCTTCAACGGGTTTCATTGATTTCTTTTTAAATTCCGTTGTTATACTCGCCAGCATAATTTCCGGAAATTAAAAATCTCGGTGGCGTCCTTGACTAATTTCTATAATAAATGAAAGCGTTTTTTGATGTAATGAAAAATTGACTATGGTGCAAGTGAGCCATAGGCAGCTGTGAATTGATATAGTCAATTTCAGGATGACGGTGGGTGGACAGCTGTGATCTGGGCCACGGAGTACAAGCACGTGGACCAGGTGAAGCTGCTGCTCTCCAGGGGAGCTGACATTAACATCAGAGACAAGGTCAGTCAGGTTTTGATCGTAGGATTTTCAACATTTTCTGCTAATCTCACCCATTACTGTTGCAGGTTTGTTCTGTCCACTCATTCAAAGCTTGATACTCAAATATTCACACCAGAAAATCCCTGTACCCACACCTGTAGGAGGGTTTTTTTTAATATATATGTTGTGGATTTTAGTTATATCCCTGTTTATGCAGCTGGGCTGTTTATTAATTGGAGTCAGGTCATTTATTCTGCTCAAGACCTTCCTGACCACACATTAATGATTGCTGTGGTGGCTGGGCACAGGAGGAGAACATCTGCCTGCACTGGGCGGCCTTCTCTGGCTGCGTGGAAATCGCCGAGCTCCTGCTGGGCGCGAGGTGCGATCTCCATGCCGTCAACATGCACGGCGACTCACCCCTTCATATTGCCGCACGGGAGGACCGGCTGGACTGCGTGACGTGAGTTCGAGCTGACCCTTCGTCACCCATAGATGTGTGATATGTTCCTTGGGTCACGCTATTGCATAGTTGCATGACTATGATCACCCATTAAGCTTAGTCACTTGGCATCAGCCCCTCCCACCTAAATACTTGTAGACTCTTCCTGTCACGCGGTGCCAACGTGAACCTTAAGAACCGCGAAGGGGAGACCCCGCTGGAGTGCTGTAGTCACAACTCCAAAGTATGGAGCACCCTTCAGACCAACCGGAAGCTGAAGGAAGCCGCAGGAACCCAGGCGCTGCAGGAGGAGAAGGTCCTCAACAGGTATATCTCTGGTTCCCACTTTTTCTTACCCAATAAAACATTCAGATAATTTGTCACTGTTTTTCCACTTTTTTTTTTCCTCCTTTAACATTGTTGACCAGTTCAGTAGGGGTTCGATAATCTGACATTTCAGTAGCTATGACTCAATTCCTACTTTCAGAAAGCACCTAAATGTACTGTTGTCTTTGATCATACTTGTTAAAAAAAAAAAAATATAGCCAAAAACTCCTCTTTTCAAAACAAGGATTTGTCATGAGGTAGCAAAACCTGAACATGTTATGTAAGTCCTCAGCTTTTGTCTATGAACGTCATTCATTCTAAACACCAGGGACATTGCACGTGGCTACGAGAAGGTCCCTGTTCCGTGTGTGAATGGGGTGGATGCGGAGCCCTGTCCTGACAACTATAAATACGTCCCTGTCAACTGCGTCACTTCACCCATGAACATCGACAAGAACATCACTCACTTGCAGGTGGGTGGCTTTGGCTGGGTGCTGTCAAATGCCTATACTCAGTAGAAGTATGTCTGGGAGCAATTCAGTCTTGTGAGTTCTCCAGGTTTTAGTTTGGTTTCATCTCTGTGTAGTGCCCTACTAAACACAGTCTCCCCAAATCTGAGCAGATTTAAAGGAACGGTATCTCCAGTCAGTATTACCAGTGAGGTCTGTAGTTACAAAGTGGGTGGAATCTCCTTTAATACATGTAAGCCCTCCAATTATGTTTACTTCCTACAAGAGATTTTACGTGTTAAAATGTTTTTTTTTTGCTTACCATTACGTATTTTGGGCTTAATTTAGCATTCAGCAGACATTCGCCTGCTTTTGGAGGTTTGTGCTGACTTTCTACCTCAACCTGTTGTGGTCAACAGTACTGTGTGTGCAAAGATGACTGCTCCTCCACCACCTGCATGTGTGGGCAGCTCAGCCTGCGCTGCTGGTACGACAAGGTGCGTCCCTCCGCCACTCACCAGAAAGAAAGAAGACAGTGTGGTTTTTGCAGTAGTTCTTCTCAGACAGGCTCAGAATGTTCAGGTGTGGTCTGCCCCCAACTGATTCAGGTTGCTTTTTCTTTCTGGACAGGAGGGACGTCTCCTTCCAGAGTTCTGCCGCGAGGAGCCACCGCTCATCTTCGAGTGCAATCATGCCTGCTCGTGCTGGAGGACCTGCAAGAATCGTGTTGTTCAGAATGGCCTGAGGTATCTTCAGGGCGAAGAGTGTGGACTTGTTTCCAAATAGCTCCTAGTCCCTGTAACTTATTGCCAGCTACTGTTGCACCAATGCGATGCAAGACCTACCCAAAAGGCTCCTGATCTTCTCTCTTTGGAGTCCTGGGAACCTGACATAGCCTAAATGGATGGCACTATTAGCTGTGTCATCTTGGGTCTCTTCTGACCTGCCTGTTTTGGGTGGTAGGTGACAGGATGATTAGTTGCATGGTGTCCAGCTACTTTGCAGATAACCTGTAAGTCAGGTAGCACCATCTGCCTTCAGGTCCCACCTCTTGGTCTCAGTGATAGTGGTTGGAAAGTAGATGTTCTCTCAAGTGTTCTCCAAAGGTTCTCCAGCCACCTTCCGCCTCAGCAGTGTCTTGAGTTGAATTTGAGTGTCTGCAAGATTGGGTAATCGACGTGGCATGCTTATCCTGAGTCACTAAGATGAGCAGATCAACTACGAATGGCGGAAGTGGCAGAATCCTTCTGTCAAACAAGCTCCAACCTACTTCGGAAGGCAATCTGGGTCATAATGCAATACAGGATGTGTTATAAGTTTCATAAGTAGGGTTGGGTGCCTGTGGATGGTGCAGTGTTCATTTCACATAGTTGGACCCCCTACGATTTTGAACACTCTCATTCTAGGATGCGGCTACAGCTCTTCCGGACAGCAAAGACTGGTTGGGGAGTTCGAGCCCTTCAGGACGTCCCCCAGGGAACTTTTGTCTGCGAGTGAGTCCCGTAGTTTGTCCTGTCCATCATAAAGGACAAAAGGAATTCTAGATGAGAAGAATGTGCAAGGTGTTTGAGGTCTGTGGTCTCAGACTGATAATGCATGTACCATGAGTTAATGTGGTCCTTCCCTAAAGCATATATATATGCCTAGGAAATTGTACTGCCTACTCCCTGAACAAAGAACAGATTTTTCGTATTCTGATTTTTATCTGGAGTCTGGAGTAGATTTCACACGCTCTGCAGTTCTCAGCCTTTTTCCGATCGCAGTAGCAACACCTAATCCTGATCGACAGCAATCTTTGTTCAGCACATGACAAGTCAGTCTGCGACCACTGGCTTTCAAACAGTGTCTTTTGTTACAGAAAATCGAACATTAGACTCAAAACTTTTAAATGGCATAGTTTTTATGAACAGGAATTGACCACTGCTTTGTATGATGGCTGAAACTTGTCTCTGGTTCCCATCACAGCACTAGTCGTACGACTGGGCCAGTTTAGTTGTCCTTGACATTTTCCGGCTGGGGTCAGCTGGGTGTCATTAGACAAGGTGACTGTTGATATAGGTGGTTTATTCACATGACATCACTGAGGTTTTTTCTCCCAAACCCCAGGCATGTGCTGTCAACACAATTTTGAATACACTTTTTTTGTGAATTCCCATGACTCTTTGGTGTTGTGGGAATGTAAAGCACAGATGGTGAAATTCTGGCTGTAAATTGTACTGGCTTGTGTCCAGAAATGGAAAATTAAAAACAAAATAATCAACATATTTATAGATTTCAATCACAGCAAGGGTAAGAAACCTTATATAAATGTATTGCTATGGCCTGGAAATTCTCAGTTTGTTTTGCTGGGGGTGAAAGTTGGAAAGGATTCATTTTGCTACCTGCAAAATGCAGTTTTATGGAGGGCACCAGTTACTGATGATAGTCATGTGCTCCTCCAATCAGATCTCAGCCGTCCGATGTAACAGCTGTTGATTGGCAGGTAAAGTAGTTGGGGTGTTGGAGGTGTATGTCCCATCTTTTCACTGTATTCCCACCAAGTTTGTACAGTAAAAGATTAAAAAGATCAGGGTTAAGATCAGAGAAAGAATATATGCAGATGAGTTTGAAAGATACATGCAACTTTCACACATTAGCCGCAGTAATTTTTCTCTGGGAAAATTCCAGTCGCGAGTGTCATTTTTTTCAGTTTAAAAAGTTCAAAAAGGTCCCCAGTGGGTGACGGTCCTGCTGTCTTCAGGTACGTGGGCGAGATCATCACTGACGCCGAAGCAGATGTCAGGGAGAATGACTCGTACCTCTTCAATCTGGACAACAAGGTAACTTCATCGATGATCAAAAGGACGACCAATCAGAGTCATTGTTTCAAAATGAAATGGCCATTAAATTTCCATGGTTAGGTCAATTTACTCATTTTTTTAGGGATGAATTTAAGTATCTTGTGGGGTATAGTCTGTATCTTATTGGATCTCACTGAAGCAGGGAATAAATCTACGGTTTGGAAAAGAGCTGCTGTTATCTTGTATTTATTTCTGTAAGACGCCTGGGCTTGAAGTTTGCCAGTGAGGCTTGCGTCATGCTGATCTCCGTCAGTCAGCTAGCATGGACATCAACACATGGTGCAATGATGTCTGCTGGGCAGTTTGTACACGGTGGCCTTTGCAGGCTCCCTCTGTGCTAATGCCCCCGCTGGCCTGCGGGTGGCAGTCTGCTGGGTGTTTACATGTTGGTTCACTGGCGTCCATCAATTTCTCCACTCAGCCGTTGCCCAAAAACTGCTTACGGGGCAGCTGCCCCCTGCCTGCGCCATTTGAGGTTGAGGGAGGGCCTGTGGCCGTGGACTTTTGCCATGGGTTTTGTGTACCTGTTGGCCCCCACTATCCTGCTGTTGTAGGGCAGTCCCCCCCCCCCCTTGCCAGTGCCCTTGTGGGGTGGGGGATGGCTTGTAGTTCAAGCCGTCTTGGCTTATCACTTCTGGTTCGCCTGCCTCATGCCCAGTCCGTGCATCCCTGTACCGAAGAGCCCTAAAAATAGCCTTGCCATTGCTGATTGTCATGGTGATAAATGTGTTGTCATAGCTCGTCCCCCGTCCCCCCTCCGATCTCTTGAAACTGATTTGGGGGTGGGGGGTGGTGATGAGATGGATTGATAGTTAGGGTACAGAGGTTTGGCCATTCACTAATCCAGTCCACAACCGGTTCTTGTGGCCAAAGGTTAAATGAACGCTAAGTGCCTTTTTTAAAGTTTGCATGGAACGACTGAAATGAATCAGAATTGTGCGTGTGAACCGTTCGTCTGGGAGATCTTTGTCATTGCACTTTAATATAAAACACTGCATACATAATGTGTTGAAATGTAATTTGGGCAATGTGTGAGTCCATTTTGTTTGGCCCAGCTAGTGGCTAAAGGATGCTAGGGAAAGAGATGCAATCTCATATTATATTTTAGCGGGAGTATAAAATCCGTGTAAATCAGAGGACATCTTTGGAGAACTTCTTGGCGCTGTACTGCTTTGAAACCTCTGAGCTTTCTGTCAGCTTGATCCACTCGATTGGTGCCCAAGGCTGTCCTCTGCTCAAACACACCCCCTGCAGGTGGGAGACGTGTACTGCATCGATGCCCGCTTCTATGGCAACATCAGCCGGTTCATCAACCACATGTGCGAGCCCAACCTGTTCCCCGTCCGCGTCTTCACCACGCACCAGGACCTCCGCTTCCCCCACATCGCCTTCTTTGCCAGCAAGAACATCAGCGCTGGCGATGAGATCGGGTAAGGCGAAACCCCCCCAGGCCACTCCAAGAAAAGATAATCAACGAAATAAGACTCTCGCATATTGTGGATTTCTGGTGCATGATTATTATCCAAAACGGCTTGCAGTAGAGGGAAGGCTTACACTTTGCATGTGCTCCCTGGGATCTGAACCCACAACCTTTGTGCTGTTAGTGCAGCGCTCTACTCATCGAGCTCCTGGAGCCAGTGGAAGCTGCATGAATTACATCTCCTGTTTAACCCACCTGGTTCTTCCTGAGGTCCCTCTGCATTTGCTTGCATTCTCATCTGGATCTTTGTGCCCGCGCAGGTTCGACTACGGCGACCACTTCTGGGAGATCAAGGGCAAGCAGTTCAGCTGCCAGTGTGGCTCGTTGGCATGCCGGCACTCGGCGGCCGCCCTTGCCCAGAGGCAGGCGGACAGCACGCCTGGGGGGCAGCAACCCAGCGCCCTCCCTGACACCAGCTCCTCCACCACACCCTCCAGCCCCTGCTGAATCGCACCCCTCCGATCCCACCCTGCGGCCCGAGCACCACCCACACCAGCACAAAACTCCGCCCCTTTCTGCGGGACTCCGCCCCTTTCTGTGGGACTCCGCACTCACTCCACCTTGCCATTGTAACCGAGACTCATCGGGTGCAGTGGAACCCATCGCCCTCCAGGCTTTTGGCGCTGCCCACCCCCCCCACCCTACGCCACCCCACTGAATGGAACCCTAAAGACTGGATGTTTGCCAACTTTCCCAACAAAGATTTTGATAGTTTCCATGACGTGGCGAGAGAAGGCCGTCTAGTATCGTATTGCTTCCCTGTGCAATATGGGTCAAAGTGGACAGATTTTCAGGGTTTTGTACTTGAACGTATTTCCTTGGGTAGCGGTTTTTAAAGGGGAGTTGATCATTTCATGAGGGTAGTGTAAGGTTTTCAGTCTTTCCTGGCAGGAATCTGTAGCATTTGATTGGGCCATAACTTCATAACCTTTCTCTGTTGCAAGGAAAAGTGAGATTTCTGATAGGAAATATTCACACCCAGGTATTCCTTTGAGGAAAATACTGACGTATAAATCAGGGCTTTTTGGTTCCTTGATGGCCACTGGTTTAATTTCTCACAGTTTAATTGGACCAATAAGTAGTTAATTGTCATGTTCCCCCTCACTCATTTATATCCAATAAACAAAATGAGATTCGTAATTTTTTTTTAGGGATGTGGTCATGAACCTTGAACCATGAATCTACTGCCACTAGATATTTGAGGCAGTAGGTTAAGGAGCTGTGTGTTCCCATTGGCCCTCTGGAATTCTGACATCTCTCGAAGAAGGCAAACTGCTCATGACAGCCATTTTAAAAGCAAATGTCCTTTGTTAGATTTAATTATTAGGTTAATTGTTTTTTAGTTACATTTAGTAAGAACTCATGCAGCCTGTAATGTTGTGGGGGTGGGGGTCATGGTTTTGTAGAGACTGTAGTGCCCTCGTTGTCGGAGCATGGTGGAGGCTGTTCTAGCTGAGCTTTAGAGCAGATCTGGGCGCCCACCATCACACTCGGGCTAAAGCCACCCCCCGTCCCCGTCCCCCCCCAGGGAAAGCGACCGTGGCCAGCAGGCATGGAGGACCTATCTCATCAGCGCGAGACTCCAGGAGGATTGCCAAAAGACGTGGAAGACATGACTGCACTAGATTTCATACCTTTTTAAAAATGTCTGTACCAATCAAACAAAGAGAAGCATGTTTTGTGAGGAAAACTTACTCAGCCAAGAGTAATTGAACATCTTTTTTTCTTTGTCGGGTGGTGGGAAAAACAAGCCGGTCAGAACTCACTGAGGAAAACTGAAAATGGTGCTGATATTTTTTTTTATTATTATTTTGTATTACTCACCAAGTGAATACAACTTGTAAAATAAGATGTGGAAAAGATTGTGGATTTGTTTTTTTTCACATTTAATTTTACCTCCAGTTTTCTTACTGTAGTAACTAGTTAGCCTATCAACTGTTTCATAATTCTATGTTGACTGTAAAAGTATGCATAATTCTGTCATTTTAAATGTGGTTAGTATGGTTAGTATATTGTAGAATCTTGTGCTACTTCCCACCTATGGCTTAAAGCAAAAAAAAAATTAAGACTTGCATATTTCTTGACAGTGAAATATGATGCTCGGTCTAACTGGCTGTATCCTTTTTCAATAAAATTACTACTAATAAATCAGATTTATTTACAAAACAATTAATGTGATGTCAAGCGTGATGGTGTATAGATGTGACTAGAGCAGCACACAGCTAGTCCCACACAGGGCATAAGGGTGGGGTACGCCCTGGATGGGATGCCAGTCCCTCACGGGGCACGGGGTTGGGGTACACCCTGGATGGGATGCCAGTCCCTCACGGGACACGGGGCTGGGGTACGCCCTGGACGGGATGCCAGTCCCTCACGGGGCACGGGGCTGGGGTACGCCCTGGATGGGATGCCAGTCCCTCACGGGGCACGGGGTTGGGGTACGCCCTGGACGGGATGCCAGTCCCTCCTGGGACATGGGGCTGGGGTACACCCTGGACGGGATGCCAGTGCCTCACGGGGCTGGGGTACACCCTGGACGGGATGCCAGTGCCTCACGGGGCTGCGGTATGCCCTGGATGGGATGCCAGTCCCTCACGGGGCACGGGGCTGGGGTACACCCTGGACGGGATGCCAGTGCCTACCGGGACACGGGGCTAGGTTTCATCCTGTTTGGGATGCCAGTCCATCACAAGGCATAAGGCTGGGGTACACCCTAGATGGGATGCCAGTCCATCACAGGGCATGGGGCTGGGGTACGCCCTGGACAGGCTGCCAGTCCATCACAGGGCGTAAGGCTCAGGTACGCCCTGGATGGGATGCCAGTCCCTCACAAGGCGCATACATTCACAATATAAATGACTGGCCTGTCTTTGAGCCATGAGAGAACAACATGCAAACTTCACATACAGTAAGTAGAGGAGAGACTCAAACTCCCAATATTGTGCCCAAGACCCTCCTCTGTCCCGCCAGGGTGTTTTTTTCATGCTCCCTAACATCTTTAACCCCCCACCACCCCAAACCCCACCTGAATGACAGTACCAGGGTTCTTAATCTGGAGCATGACATGACAACCTACTCAATACCAACATCTTTCACTGTACTGGATTAATCTTTCTTGTCATCCATTCATGCTTACGGTTTTGTACTGTCTGAGGAGGATTTTGTTGATTCCAGAATTCAAAATCCAAACACAAAATCTCTTACGTGCAGAGAGCCGAAAAAAACATCTTTTGTCGAGTTATTCAGTAAAATTAAGCAAAACTTGATTGCATCTTTGCAGGCTTTTTATTCTGGTGAACTAGTGATAATCGGCCCCTTCCTGATTACCGCAGAAGTCCGTAATTTAATCAGAGTTTTGCTTTTCTCTGGGTGGGAGTCGGTTTGGGTTAAAAGCGACCCGATGAAGACCGTGGACCTCTAGGCAGATAAAGTGCTTTTAAGCGACTGAACGGAAACGGCCTTTCCGCATTCCGCAGCACCCGGACCCTTTGCGGCTCCAGAGTGGGGGGCAGTGTATGCGGCTCGGCACACAGACGTGGTCAAAGTTGGTTGTGTTTGATCCGCGCCTATTGGTACCAAAATGAACAAGACAACGCCGCAATATTCAAAATGGGCCGAAAGACGATCTACTCTTGTATATGGTAAGACCATCTAGACTGAGGGGAATTATTTATATAAAATAAGTCTTGGGACTGATATACAAGATCCTTGCTATCCAATATCATTACTTCCACTAAATTTAATATTTCATAATTTAACACTGCCTTTTAAACATCCTTCTTAATATGTTGCGTGTTTTATCACTTTAATACTTAATTTCGTTTCGTTAATGAAAGCCTGTCAATACACATACCCCAATTACCAGAAAGGTATCCGGATTCAAATCCTATGTATAATTGTTATTGAATCGACGCAAAATTTTGGGTGTTATTCCAAATAAACAAGTAGGCATATTGATAAAAAATGACGTGTATATTCTTCCTAATAAGAGCTCCAGACCTAAGATAAATGCGTGTGAAGTGTATCAGAAGTAAGCTTATAAATATGACAGGCGCTTTGAAATGTTCTTAATTTGTCAAAACACCAGTTGTAATAAACAATACCGATCTGCCAGCGTGTTATACGTTTGTTATTATACGAGATCAGTTGAAATAATCCTGATCGGAGGGGTTCCCCTCTGCTGTCTGTTCCATTGTTTTCACGTTATTGCATTTCGCTCAATTGACACACGTGTAAGTTCCCCATTTCGGCCTTAATTAGTCTTAGGTCTAGCCGAGGTTGTTAGAACACTGTATTAGCTGTGTTCGAGTCGCTTCGTATAATTGCAATCATTTCATGAGAACCGCTTGTTCTTCGTTAAGAAGAAAGTAACAAAACAAGTTTGTTTTCCCAAATCTACCGTCAGGGATTGAGTTTTCACACGGAAATATATATACATACATATTTTAAGTGCAATAAAGCAACGAGACTGACGTGATGTGTCTGGCACTGAACAGCCCTACGCTCGGCCACCTTCAGCAGCTGGAGGATGCTGACCCTCGGAGTGGAGTACAACTCGTGGTCTCAGAGCCCAGCAGCGCTGGGCAGAGAGCAGTCCCGGCGGGGGGACACGGAAAACGCCTTGGACCCTGACGGCGTTGCCGTGGCGGAGCAATTGAGCCCGAAAGCGAGCGCAGACGAAGATCCGCATTACTACAGCAAGGTGGTCAAACTGAAGGAAAATGCCGATACCTTACCGGTAGCCGGTGAATATAAAAACAGCTTATATAGGTCTCAGTCCCTTTACGGTGCGCAAAACGCAGAGGCGATCAGGCCGGATGAAGGTCCTTGGAGTATTGTCGATCTTCATGAATCTTTGCAGAATGAACTTTCCCAGCCCCCGCTGTGCTTCATAAACAGGTAAGACGTTTGACAGCACAGGTAAGATTATCTCGCTTGTTTCTAAGCGCACGATAATTCTCAGATTACTTGGATTAAAATTGGTAGACTTGATCATGATTGATCGTTGAAGTCTTTAGTAGCATTTAAGACATAATAAGCGCTTAGGTTTTGAGTCGCTTGATACACGCTGTTATTACTTAAGGTACAACTTGTAATGACAGGGTACAGAGGCTAAAATGTCATTGACCGCTTTAAGATGTCTAACCAAGCTGGTATTTGGAAGGTATATTTTAAACATCTTCTGAAGAACCGGCCCGGCCCACAGACATCTAATGGGGGGGCTGCTTGCTAAAACTTCCAACCTTCGCCCAAGTTATGCTCTGATAGAATAGCAACCCAACTGGCAGAAAGGTGTGCTTTGTTCTGGTGGACTCACAACTAAAAATCAATTTAGTCCTGGTGACACGAGCGAAACCAATGGGTCTAGCGCCTCCTGCTGCTGTTGACTGGACAAGAGCAGATACTGCCACTATTAAGACGTTATTGAATGCCTTTCGTTTACCACAGTATCTCTCACTGATAGGGCATTAAGAACTTGCAATACACTGGCATAACCTTCAGAGGGAGTGAAACCACAGTTTAGCAGTATCGTCTACAATTCCCATACATAGGTAACGCTACTTCTCATGTCATAACTGATTTAGTGGTTTTTGGATTTTGATAGCACACAACAAAATGCAGCCAGTTCTGTGTTTTTCATAGAGCTCTGGTTGTAGCCTCTCAGTTCACATATGAAAATGTCTGAAATGTGTGGCCGTGTGTAGCCCATTTGGTGGGGGACTGGGTGCCATGGCGTCCCTCCCCACCACTTCTCCGAGCCTTTCTGTTTGCGGGGTGCAAGTGAGCCGGTAGTGGAATGGGGCCGGATCGCTAGACTTATCAATGGCATCCCTTTGTGTTTTTATCCAACAGCCTAGTTAGCAGCTGCTTCCTGCATTTTACAGAGGTGGACATTTCAGGTTCAGAAAGTAAAAATCCAAACCAGGATTTTGTTTCAACCAACCAGTTGAGTATAATGAGTGACAGTTACAGAGTACTCAACTGGTTGGTTGAAACAAAATCCTGGTTTGGATTTTTACTTTCTGGACCTGAAATGTCCGTCTCTGGCATTTTACGTAGAGCAGTTGGTCTGATGTTTACAGCTTCTGGATTTGGGGCTAGATCAGTGGTGTCAAACTCCAGTCCTGGGGGGGACGGAGGCCTGTGTAGCTTAGCTCGTTCCCTGTTCCACCACAAATTATTCATCTCAATTAGCACAAGGACCTGAATCAGGTGTGTTAAATGACGGGAAACCCAAAAATGTGCAGGGCTCCGGGCCCCCCAGGACTGGAGTTTGGCATCACTGGGCTAGATTATCACAAGAGCAAAGAACTCCCAAGGACACTGGAGGTGTGTTACTGAGCAAAACGCTGAGCCTGAACCAAGTGAATTGAACACACAGTGGAATAAAGCTTCAAAAGCGTTGGTTGTTCAGATCGGTTTGTGTGACTGCCGAATGTGCTCCAACAAAGCGAAAATAAAGTGATGAGCACATTAGCTTTGTTTAGATTTCTGCCCTCGTGGGAGAAAGCTGTTGGTTCCACACCCACTTATGTTTTTACAAAAATGCTGAGAGGCAGTGTGACAGTAACCAGAGGGAGGAACCGCCCACCAGACCAGTCCAGTCTCTCAAATCCTGTCATCCGAGTCTGTCCAAGGCTGTGTAATCCACAGTAACGACCGGCTGTCGTTAATGAATTACACCGTGTGAGCTCAGCTCATAATTCCATCTTTTTGAGAAGCCCTGGAGTGTTGCTCGTGTTGCTCCTCTAGACTCGGGTCTGGCACGTTTGCCAGAATGTTTAGCCATGAGCCAGTCCTGTGCAGTTTTCCTGCAAAATGCACCCACGTGTATCTAAGCTAGAAGTAACCCTGACAACCCTGCAAGTCCGCCTTTAAGAAGATGCGAACCCGGATTACAGACGTGCGCATTTTTGATGCTGCGCGATAAATCGAATTGAAAGTAAGTGGGAAATTTTATCCGTGGGTGTGGGCGGGGAATGTAGCCATTGGGTAAGATGCTGGCAGGCAGAGTGTTGTTTAATCTGCAGGGTGCTGTCGCAGAGCTGAGGCTGGGAAACCCCGCTCCCGGTATCCTAGGAAATCTGCCTCGTGACAGCCGTACAGCGGGCCCGCTGGGGCGGACTGCAGAAAGTATGGGCGGCTCTGGCTCCTGGTGTGGAGGCTCCCTTATGTTCAGATGTGGGGACCTCCCTTTGCCTTCCCTAGTCATCCATTTTCTGTGAATCCATGGACTAGTTAAGATGACGGGTAAATGGGTTTTTTCCCCCCTTTATTTCAACAACAGCAAGGGGTAGTGGAAACGAGTAGTATTTCGTCATTTGGTAGCTGATCTTGCCTGCTAACTCATGCTTTATTTATGCAGTTAGTATATGATGTTCAAAGTGGTTTTTAACTAAAAAATAAATCAGTCTTGCCTCTCTGATCCTTCCTGGTGCCTCAGAATAAGGGGGAGGTAATAAAGGAATGGGGAAAAGCAAGTAGAAATCTCAACAAGGATGGCTGGACCAGTATAACATTCACTGAACATGCATTCATTGTCCTATGTCATAGGAAAACCCTCTATGTGGTGTATAATGTTACATTCCCCCCCTTCCCAGTTAACCTATAGATGACTGACCTGCCAATTTGTAGTCAAAGCTATGGTTTCATTCTCAGGTTCTTTTTGGGACGTATTTGTTGGTTTTAGGCTGCTAAGCTAGTTTAAAAGATAAACGGCAGTCTAAAATGTCAGTGATTGACCATTGAGTGGAGGAATAAATTGAACTGGAATATGTATTATTAGACACAGATATATTGTTGCATGGGCCAAGATCACTGTTACAGGTTTGGCTGAGAATCTCCGACATAAACAAAACATGCGATAGCCCTTTGGGGAACCTGTAATGGGTATTGATGACATCACAAAGACCCTGAACTCTTTCAGGATCTATTTGATGAGGAATGAAGCACAATACAGACAGATATCAACCAGAATGTAGTAGTGAGTCTTCTGCAGAAGTGTGGTGCCAAGAAGGAGTCAAAGCTCTATTAATTTCTATAAATACATCTATCCATCCATTTTTCATACCCATTTGTCCTAGCCGGGGTCACGGCGATTTGGAGCCTATCCCAGAAACTATGGGTCAAGGCAGGGAATACTCCGGGGCACCAACTCATTGCAGGGCACACACACCGTTCACACACATGGGACCTGGGGGGGCACCAGAGAACCCATGATGACGCAGAGAGAACATGCAAATTCCACACACATGGAAACCGGCCGGAGACTCAAACCCCAGTCCCAGAGATGTGAGGCAACAGTGCTGACCAGCATGCCACTCCCCTATAGACATGCGTCCTGCACATTATGCGTTTATAAAGTAGGCGTAGATTTAGAATTTAGTGATCAGTGTTGACACACCACGGTGCACAACAACGAAATGTGTCCTCTGCATTTAACCCATATGTGACATCGTGACATTGCACCTGGGGAGCAGAACCTTGCTGGTCGGGGATTCAAACCAGCAATCTTTCAATTACAAGTGCGCTTCCCTAACCATTAAGCCAACACTGCCCACCACTCCCAATAAATATAGTTATTGGGAGTGGCATGTCCCCCCTCATTTATGAAGTCTACGACCATCAGATTTTTGGGGTAATTTTTTATAGGTTACTCTCATTGGTACCGAGGTGCAGACCTGGACAGTCTGCTGAAGCCCCTGAAAAGGTCCAGCGTGGCTGAGCCAAGATGTCGCTCATCTGTCACTCGGTTCAGCTGCTGTGTCACACTCCCTCTCCTCTTCTCTACGGTCTCTAGCTTCTGGAGTTTTGTCCTCCCCCCTCCCCCACCCCCAAACACACACACACACTATTTTTTCTTTCCATGTAGCAGAGATGAAGCCAGAGGATGAGTCATTGTTTAGGAGATACACAAGGGATAACGTGTAACTGGCGTCGTCAGAGGAGGGGCCCGTTGCCACGTGTGTGTGTGTGGATGTAGAAGCCATGCTGGTCTCTGAGGCCTTCTTGCCTCTGTCTACTGGGTGCTTTATCTGAGCTCTAAGGGTCATAGGGTTAACCAGATGGCTGCTACTATATACAGTAGCTGGGTTGGATGCTCTGCTTTAAATCCGCCAAACGATGCATTCATTGCATCAGGAGCGCAGGAAATCTCCTTCATTCACAGTGACACCAACTTCTACACTTAACTTGTTTATGCAGCTGGGAGATTGCTCACGTCACACAACCCACCTTAGATATATGGATTACTGCGATAACGGAGCTGGGTGGGGGGTGGGGGGGGGATAGTATTATGGTTATACCATATACTGTGGAATGTTTGGCATTTGGGGTACACTGCGGTATTTTCATTGGGAGGAGATGGGGTTGTTGGGGTGACGGCACTAAAATCTGCCGACCCCACCTTCCCCCCGACTGCCCCCGCCCCAGAGATGGCGGCAAGATTTGTCGACTAGGGGGTGATGCCGGTAATATCTGCTGATCGGGGCATGTAAGATGATAGCGATATAATTCGTAGACCGGGTCTGTGGGCGGTAAAATTGCTAGCCGACAATTTAACTGTCGCTGAATAGTGGAACAACTACTTCCAGGACATCGCGCATCATTCGCGGGGCTCAGGGAGCCGCTGTAAACATGCTTGTAACATGGAGGGCGGTTCCTTAAATTCAGTGCTACATGCTTTATAAGTTGTCTTGCTGCTGCTTTCAGAGACCCCAAAGAACACTACAAACTTTTTTTATATCAGGAACATGTATCAATTAAGTAAAATTATTTGAACAGTAGTTTAAATATATCACTTATAGTCATTCTTATTGGTCATAGCTGATATCATTTTATTGCTGAGACATTGTAAACCCGTTTTACAATCATTAGCATCCTTGATACTCAGCTGACCTCACGGTGCCGATGCTGAAAGTCTGAAAGGTTCGGTCCGACCGACTGTTCTTAGTCTGTGGGGTTGACTCAATCGTCTCCGTTGAGTTAAACATCCTGCTCTTGAACGAATACAAAATTTCAAATGTACTTTTAGGGGTTAGCCTATAAGAATGACTTGGTGTGCAGTATGTGGGAGTTTTTCCTCGTGTATGAAATGAAAATCAAGTCACTTGTTTAAAGACGAGACTGAAAGACGTATTAATTTATAGGCACTGGAAATTGAATTTTATTTGATTTAACCGGTCAGTGGGGAGCAAATCGTGCAAATAATGCAAATTTCTTCTTTTTTCACAAGAAATTTTAGCAGTAAAACACCCCAGAACATAATCTCCTTGTAGTGTGATTAATGGACTATTAACTTAGTCTGATAGAAAAAAAATATTTTATAAAGATATACATAAACTTCCTGCGTTCATTTATTTTTGTGTTCATTTAGGTTGCCTGCTCGATCTGATTTATGGAATCTCATTTATGGCATTTTAGCCATAAAAACCAAACGGCCAAAAAGTCTCGCATATTTTATATGCATCGCTGAAATGATTTTGTGCGTCACAAAAAATAATGGGCTGAGCCATTTCATTTTCTTTGTGATTAAAGTCATTTTAGTAGCCACAAGCAAACATTTTTTTTCTTCCTTCGGTCCAATAACCACAAGTAAACATTTTTTTTGTTCATTCGCTCAATACCAGAGATTACGGTACAGGTGGAGTCTGCCTTCGCCTTCTTTTAATCACACGTACGGGGTTCATAAGGGACGGAGCCTGTGCAAGTGATTGCACTTGTGCGTTGCTGATCGAAAGAGAGACACGAGCGCTTGGCACTATTGGATTTCTTCCCGTTGACTTGTATTTCTACGGAAAAGGGTTGGATCAAGCAAAGCCAAAAACTGTCACCTTTTTGGGAATCAAACGGAAAAAATACAATTGGCAGCTGAATGCGTGATTTTTTTTATGGGTGATATGTATTTTTATCATGGCATTTTAAGTGTTGGCACATTTGGTACTGAAGAATAATTTTTTTGCTTCGCTTCTCATCGTAGTCTGGCGGTTTTGGTTTTACATCTTGCATGAATGGGAAAATGTATCTTCATTGGGGAGACTGAAGGCACCTTGCACTGTTTCTGTAACGTTATGATATAAACTTTCTTTTTATAACCTGTCATGTAGTGAACGAAGAAGACGGAAAGGATGGGAAGACAATTGAATTCCGAGTAGACTCCTATTTTCGCTTCTTTGAATTATTTGATATTAAAAGGAGAAAAAAGAGAATCGCACTCAATGCAGACTCTTGATTGGAATAACTGTCTTTGGTGTGATGCTTCTTCCCTCTGCTTTCTCTGATGTCAGTTTGGGTTTTTCCTGTTGGATCTGTACGTTTCTAGAATGGCACGCTTCGGAGATGATTTACCTACCCGCTATGGAGGCGGCGGTCCAGCGGGAGCCGGGCGAGGAGCAGCCCGGCAAGGAGGTCCCCCAGGCGGCCAGAGGATGTACAAGCAATCGATGGCCCAGAGAGCCAGGACAATGGCCATATACAACCCTATTCCTGTCAAACAGAACTGCTTCACTGTCAATCGATCCCTTTTTATCTTTAGCGAAGACAATATCATACGGAAATATGCGAAGAGAATAATCGAATGGCCATATCCTTTTGAGGCTGTGTCTCCGTGGTTGTTATTACAGATGATTTTTAGATCTCCGTTGTCTTTCCCCAAAATTAACAAGTTAAAGAGCCAACAAAAATGTGTATACGTTTAACAACTTGACAGCCGAGAGTGTTTTTTCCTCCACCACATGTGTTTCGAGCTCATACAGATACACACGCCGTTCTGATTTCGTTTGTCTTTATTGCAAAAATATTACATCCAAGACCCTATATAATGTGCAACAGTGTCTTTTCCAGTCTTATCAAACACAAAGTACAATACCTCGTATTTTCTGGGTGGGTTCACCTTTTTATCCGTACGTACATGGAAAAACAATGAATATTGCACACTATCTGGGCACAGATAGCGTTGTTTTATTACATTGTCAACGATGCTCTGAATTGGGAAAGCCAGCACGACGAGTGGTTTTAATAATGCACTGAAGTATGCTTTAATAATATTAACAACGCTTTATTCCTTCCTGTAAATGTGAAATTTGTAGGAACACATATATACCAAGATGGGTTATTGTATTTTTGTTTTCTTTTGATTTATGTAGACAACGTATAAATCTACGTACTCCGGACTGCTACTTGTAGAATTTAAATGTTGGATTACGGGGATTCATGAGTGAAATAGTAGGAGTGTAACGTTAGAAAATATGTTTGGGTGTTAAACGTGATATAGGGCGTCACTGCTGTTTTATAATAGTCTTCTTATCTAGGAAATTGTGTGAAAATTGCATATTGTAACCTGCGTTCTCAACGCGTTTCTTTCGCTCCACCAAACGTATGCAAGCATGCGATATGCATGACGTTAAAAAAAGCGTTTCGCTTTTTAAATGTCCATTAATCGAGTCTCGTTTTTTCTTTGGATGCTCTTGTTCGCATCTGGCTTGCACGCTCCCGTGCACGGAAGTCGCTCGCCCAGGTGCTTCGGCACTTTTCGTGCTCTTTCGTCAGCGCGGCTGATCCCAGCAGCGATGCTCCGGTCCGAGTTGCGAAAATCGGCTGCCTGCCCGAAATACCGCGTCTACGTCGGTGTCGGCCGAAAGCAATACCTTCTGAACTTTTAAGAGAGATCGAAGTCCTCTTGGTAGCCGCTTTGAGTGATCGCGGTTTCGTCTTGGTTTTGGAGAACTGGATTTGTCGATAATACAGAATGCAAGGATTTTAAAAAAAGTCAATATGATTTTAAATGACGTGCAGTGTGGTCCACAACATATACGTGAAGAGATACAAAACGCGTTTCTTTTACTTAAAATAAAAAATCACTGGATGCATTTATAACAGAATATAGTAATGGCCACTAGTAACGTGACTCATTCGACCGACAGTGCAGTTTTTACAACAGCAGATTTATGATTGTGAAATGGTTTGATTTGGCAAGATCCCCTCCACCCAACTAAAACGTGACCTAGCTGTATTCATATTCCTCTTTATTCTGGTGGAGACTGACAGGGCAGCCACCACTGCAAACATGATGCATGCTGGGAGATGGGAGCCCACAAACAGAACACCCACCATGGAAGCGTTGCTGTTTAGCTCCAGCTAAGCAGAGCTGGCTCTGTCTTTAGTGCCCAACCTATGACTGGATGAGAGATTTAAATATCCTGTGGACTGGATGCATGAAACTCAGGCTTGAGCTGTGAACTGCAGGGGTTCATTATTTTTAAATTGGCAGTTGATTCCTATTATTTCTTCTCCTTAAAGTTCAAATGTTAGACAGTGAATAGGTATGATGGGCTTATTCGAACAGAGACAAAAACCTTGCGTATCTCCAGTGCCCTTCCAAAGGAGAACCATGAATAAGGTTAGGGGAGGCCTCTCAACATCTAAATGATAAACATGGAGTAGTACACACTAGGCCATATTTCTGCTGTGTGCTCATTAGGCATCTGGCCCTGCTTTCTTCAGAATCAGAATCAGCCCCTCCCCCGAAGATCGAAAGCATGATTACAACTGCAATGTTTTGTCTGATGCATCTTGACGTTCTAATATTTGAACTTCAAATAATCTTGGTGTGGCTGCAATAATGTAAAGTTTCTGTCACAATAGATGAAATGTCAGCTTTCTTTGAGTTTCCCATGGTTGTGTGTGTGTGTGTGTGTGTGTGTGTGCTAAATGTGTGTGTGTGTGTGTGTGTGTGCTAAATGTGTGTGTGTGTGTGTGTGTGTGTGTGCTAAATGTGTGTGCGTGTGTGTGCCACCGCTTACAATGCCGCCTTTTGTCAGGAATGATGGCAGGCGGACGTGTACGATTCCTGAGCTGGCATTCTGGTGCCTGATGTTTGTTTGGGTACTGAAATGCCACCACGCACCTTCAGCTGCCTCGCAGACCCCCCCCCCCCGGAGGCCAAAGATTAAAGCGGCAGAGTGAAACGCGAGGGAGCCACACGGAGAATTTTGCTGTGAGGCGGTTGTGGGACGCCATCGGCCTTCTGCTCACACCCCTCCTTGATGGTCGTGAGAGAGACCAGGTGAATAATTTTAGCAGGAAGCCAGTTCAGTATTAGCAGGAAATGTGGTGATTTATAAATTGTCCCCCCCCCCCCCCAACTCCTTAGTACACTTCACGCACTCCGAGAGTTAGCATGTGTTAGTATCAGGGGCATAGTTAGGAATGCTGAGCCCCCCGACAAAAAGTTGATCCTAAGAAACGCGGGTAGCAGGCTGGAGAGATTTTGCAGAGTAGGAGGCCTTGGAGAATAGCAGCGACAGGCTGCCCTCCGACGCCCCTGCGGCTGATTCCCTGACGCACCTGCCCAAACTGACTGATTCATTTTCACGTTGGCTGAAACTGCATCTTCATGTATACAGCTAATGTCATCTTGGCCCCTTTTTCTGACCCGTGTTCACGAATTCAGAAAAGAGGCCCCAGTCCGCCTTTGCCTCCCGGCCCACTCTCACATTGCTCTGCTTGTCATGCAAAACAAGGGGTGAGTGAAAATGAGTCACATATCAGGACTTGTAGCTGGATGGAAAATAACAGCAGAAGACCTGGACTTCGGAATGAGGATCCATAATCACAGGCCTTCACGTAGCATCAGTGGCTTATGTCAATATGATGGTAAGAAATCTTTCCTGCTCCAGCACTATTTTGAGATTCTAGGTCCTGTGCTAGACAGGCGACCCTTTGTCTTCCACAGAAGACTTTCACAGAGCCTCCCTATATGAAGAACAGGAAGTGATGTCGTGATTTTTGAGCTCACATGTTCTCATGGGTGACTTTTTTTTGTCCCCTTAAGCAAATTTCCAGATGTGATTAGTAGTTACTATACCTGGGTAGCAGTGTACCTGTCTAATGAAACTCTGCCTCATGTCATCCCCCATCACGGATTTGAATGTTGTCTATGAGTTTACATTAGTGTAAAATACGTGTGTGTGTGTGTGTGTGTGTATTGTAAAGAAGGGTGAAAGTTGGCTTTGTGTTTATGTGGGTGGGTATACATATTTGCTGTATTTTTATTGTACTGTATATGACATTTATTGTAATTCAGCTGTAATATAGTGAGGTGTGGGGTGTATTGTACTATTCACTATTGCATGGATCAAAGAGCTTAGATTTCAAATGCCAGTGACCCTTGAGTGCGACCAAAATCCCTCTATGAAAACTGGCAAGTCAGCAATGTCTGTAGGTATACTGCTGAAGCTGTTGAAGCTTGCTGACGACGGTCTTGTAAATCGTAGGCTGTTCATTTAAGCCTTGGTAGGGGCCGAGTGGAATGGAATAGATCTGGTAATGAAATACAGGTTTTAGTGAATGGAAGTGTAGTTTTCTGGATAAAAGTGTCAGTTGAGCAAAATGCTGATTATAACATTGCGATCAGACTGTGATCTCATTATTGATGTGAAGATCATTGATCCAAACCTGGAGATGGAATCCTTGACCTGTTCACTCCCTTCGAGTACATGATCTTGGCCACCATCATCGCCAACTGCATCGTCTTGGCCCTGGAACAGCACCTTCCTGCCTCGGACAAGACTCCCATGTCTGAGCGCCTGGTAAGTGTGTCCGTAAGACGTCACGTTCCGTGATCATCTGGCCGGCTTCAGAAGCAGGAGAGCTTGCTTCAGTCGCTGGCCTGGCATGGTGCGACACTAGGGTTGAAATGAACACAGCTTCATAAATTTAAGCCCCTGCAGTTTTCGTGAGTAAAGCGCATCAGTCGATGTTCTGTTATGGACTGGGAAGAATCTCAGAATTGTGTAAAACTCCATAGCTGTACGTCACATTCAATAAGAGCTCCTGATAAACCACTGTACAGGCCGACATCGTCAACAACTGCTTACTCAATCAGGTTCATAAAAGAAAATGGTTTGGTGCATTTGAGGCTGGGGCTCAGTGTCTGCCCCCCCGCCATCCTGCCAGCTCTGTGCCCGCTTCCCTCACACCAGCAGAGTTCTCCCCAGGCGAGCCTTTCGAGAGACAGGAGTCTGTGTGAAATTGTTCATTAAGGTTTTTTTATCGCTTTCTCCTTGATGTTCTCTTTAAGGCAGCAAGTAGCTGTTTGTTTACTACTTTTTTTTTCTTTTTTCTTTACCTGTCTGCTGTCGCTCAGTGTTTTAGCAGACAAATGGTTTCTCTATGGGGTTCAACAAGGGAGTCCCGGTAAATTAAGACCCTCTTTGTCTTTCTCTCCCTTGCTGCTTCTTACATTCTCTCTCTCTCCCCCGCTGTCTCTCGCTCTCCACAGGATGACACCGAGCCCTACTTCATTGGGATTTTTTGTTTTGAGGCCGGCATCAAGATCATTGCCCTGGGTTTCGCCTTCCACAAGGACTCCTACCTCCGTAACGGCTGGAACGTCATGGACTTCGTGGTCGTTCTTACAGGGTGAGTCTGGCCTCCAGGTGGGACAGGATGGGGTGGGGCAAGGGAGAAGGGGGGGGGCATCCTAGATAGGGTATCTTTATATGGGGCCTGAGTTAGCTTCACCTGGGATGATTGTCACACAGTGACTCAAGTGTCTGAGGTAGCATGTTGCTGAGGGTCTGTTTATGGGGACAGACTGTGTCTGAGAGGTGATAGAAGAAAAGAGGGTTATGGAGTGTTTTTGGTAGCTCCTGGGATTCAGGAAAATGCTGAAATGCAGACTGGTGACAGATCAACATGTAAGGGGCCAGGCTGATTGGTGATGCACTTGTGAGACTGTCTTGGGGTGGGGGGGGTGCGAAATTCCTAATGCAAATGAAAGTCCACTTGTTGTGGCTGTGCGTCCTGCACTTGAACTTACCCGTTTCCCGCTCTTGTGACAGGATACGTATACGAGCAGCCATTTTTGCTGATAGGAAATCGGGGCTGAACCTGGTAAATTGAATTGAAGTTGGCAGATAGTCAGCGAGGTAGCTTTGGTAACCTGGGAGGGCCGTGCGATGGCCTTGCTCGTATGATACGGAAACCCCATTTAAACCACAGGGGAGCATCGTTATGGGAGAAGATGCCAGATACCAAGAGGCTAATTAAACACAGCAACCATTTTTCCCTGGGACCAGTGTGCCGCAGGAAAGGTCAAAGGTCATTTTCTGAAATGTCAGTAATCAACCACATCCTGAACTTATGTTCATTAAACAGGAGCAAACAAATGAAGCAGGAGCAGCCAAGCCTGGGGTGGGTTGGGGCAATTACTTACTCAAGCTGGAGTCAAAACGTAAGTGTGAGCATGAGTCAGGGCTTGGGGGTGCCTTCTGTGTTTGAAAACTTAACCCTCATTTTGATGTTGCTGTAGAAACCTTACCAGCGCAGGGGCAGAAATGCCATGAATAAAATTATTGTTGCAATTAACATTTAAAATGAGTCTGTCCTGAATCTGACCTGGCGGATCGAGCTCTTCTGTGGAGGCCTTAGCACCCGGCATGAGATGCGACTGTGTTTTTTTTTTTTTTTCTCCTTCCTAGTTCTCCCCCCCCCTCCCATTTAAGATGTAATTCCAGCTCCCGCAGCAAGCCCCCCGCCCTGTGGCTCTCGTTCAATGCTCCCCTCCCCTTTAATGATAGTGTTTAAATAATTTTGTCCACCACGCAATAGCAGACCTTGAATCTGGTCCAGTCCAACATCAGCTTGTGTTCATGTTGCAGTGGGTGCAGCCAACCCACAGGCCGCGTGCTGATCGATGGAGCAGTGAGGCATTTGCCGGCTTCTCTGTATGCCGGAGCGGCGGGCCGTCGGAGGAGCAGCGAGCCGTTCTCCGGCTCCCCCGTGTGATGGAGCGGCGAGCCATTTTCCAGCTCCTCCATATGGCTTCCCGACTGTCTGTGACAGCTAAAGGGGTAGCGTGTGGCTCAGCGGGTTAGGACTCTGCGTCTGTTATTGGAGGGTCGCTGGTTCAAATCCCAGGGTCGGTAGTGTGAATTCACTACTGGACTCTTGAGCAGGGTATTTAAACCCCCATTGCTGCAGTGCACTGAAGACTGGTTGACTGTCTGCCACAGAGAGTAACATGGGATAGGCAAAAACACGATTTCCCTATGGGGAGGAATAAGGTTCTATTCTATTTTAAAGCCCCTCTGAGCTTAAACCGAATTGTGCAGCATTACCTTGCTGCCATATTTAGACAGTATATTTGGCGTATAGACTAATATACAGTATATGTTCTAATTAGGCTTATGCATACATTTTGTGTGTCTGCCTGGATATTACAGAATGTGTTCTGGTTGAATGCTTGAGTACTGGAGATGCCGTCTTCTGATCATTAGAACGATAGATGATCTGGTCCCAAGTTTCCTTCCTGAAATAACCTATCTATCTCAGACAGTTGGGTATGAGGTTTTAACCTGGCTTCAGGTGTAGGGATAAATATAAATGTGTTTCATGTAAAACACCCGACAGTCCATGTTCTAACCCAGCAACGTACTGGCATAGTGGCATTACACAAGAGTCCTGGTGTAGGTCAGGCTTCCTGAGGCGTTATGGGATATTTCTGTGTGCGGTTTAATCCTTGTGTCCCTGTTGATAAAGTCTGGATGGGCTAGCATGGGGTCACTCCTCCGTCGGTCCCACTGTGCTGTTCTCTTCTGTTTTATTCACGTGGAGACAGCTTATTCACCTAAAGACATCCCATAAAATGCACCCGTCTTCCTTTGACGCTGCGCCAGGTCAGGACATGTCGGTGCAGAGGGGATGCAGCCATGTTTGTAGTTCTTTCATGTCCACCCAATGGTTGGACACCAGCGCGTTTCCGATTGGCGACCGAGAGGAGAGGCCCGGGCTTCTGCCAATCAGAGGAGCTTTGAGAGACGCGTACCCCCAGGTCCAGTCCTCTCTCTCCCTGACCTCAGCATCAGGAGTGGGTGGGTTGTCCATTTTGCTCCCCGTGTCCCCAGCCAGCTGCCTTTTCTGCCATTGAGTGTTTAGCACATGCCGATTGTCAGGCGCGGGCAGCAGCAGATGACCCTGCTGCCCTTCTGATAGACGAAGAGTGAAGGCTTCGCTGGAGGACAGGCAGAACACGCTGGTCTCTCTCTCTCTCTCTGTCCTGCTGTTTTCTGGGTACCCTGCCCGCCTTGGGGATGGTCATATGACGTGGAGCCACTTTCCTCCCCCGTGTCCCAGCACGAGGGGAATGATGTCACGTGACTTAAATGGCTTCCTGTTTTGGTGCGCCCCCGCCTAATCAAACTCTAGCATCTCCTTCCCTGACGTTCGGGGTCTGACATTCTGCCCCAGGTGTGTGTGTCTGCTCTCCCGGGATCCACGATGCAAGATTTTTCCACCGTGCTTCAGAGAGCTGGTTCGGCGTTTCTGGTGTGACTCATGATGCCCGGGTCCTCCTGGCCGGTGCCAGCAGCTGAGATTGGGTAGGGGGGTGTCAGGCAGCCTGTTCCAGGACACATTATGAGCGCAGAATGGATCTACCTTTCCTGTAGGGAGGTGAGGGGGCCAGGCAGCTTGACAATCAGTTTCTGTTCGATAGTGGTGTGCAGTAACACTGCAGAATCCACAGATGCATAGAAATTTTAATGCAGGAATCAAACCTTTTGGGCTGCAATACTACTCGCTTTATCATTTATTTCATGCGTTGTTTGGCTGCTTGACCGAAATCTATAGCGAGAATTAGCTGCCTAAACTGCCAGGCTTGATCACAACAGATCTGAAAGTGAAGAGGAGCTGGCTTTGGACCTTGCAGCAACGCCCTCAACGCAGTCGGCTCTTCATCTGTAGAGCGTGACCTACATTTAGGCCTGTCTGGGAAAAATGGCGGTAAATAATTCACCGCGATGTCGTTACGAGCCGCAAGCGTGCCGCAGGTGCTGGTTGCGGGGGGGGCGGGGAGGGGGGCTGCCAGCAAATTAGCGCTGGAACACCACCCGGAATGGCCCACCTGCGTATAGAAGCCGAGCTCTCGCTCACACTAACAGCAGGTGTGCCTTTGCTGTGGGTCAAACAGCTTAGCCCTGCTTTTGTCTTTGATGCCTCCCTTGAATTTTTGGCCGTGTGAAAGGATACGTGTGGAAATGCAGTGTTGGAATGTCCTCAGAGCTCATTGTTACATCACTGGATCTCTGCACCTTCTGGTTCTGATATTCCACTGCACTAGGTCTTGGGAGTCATCTAAAGCTGTACTGCCTCAGAATTGAACAAGTGGGAGTAGCCAGGTCCGTGCTTAGAGCAGCATGATTGGCTGGAGGGTGGAGAGTGGGAGGGCCAGGTCTGCTAGCAGATCAACGTGATTGGCCGGTGGGTGGAGAGAGGAGGGCAGGTAATAAAACTCACCAATGTCAGTGTGACATTGTCTGCTCATTTGTCCTGTGTCAGCCTGATGGGTTTGTAGGAAACGCTCCCCGCCTCCTGAAGGAGGGTGTGATGCCTTTTCTTAGCATCTCTTATGCCCTGAAGGAGGACTGTGTCTGTTCCTAGCCAGCCCAGCACCTTCGTTAGTGTCATGCAGGCACCTCTAGGCGGCCAAAGCCTAGACTCAGGTTGCTATATCCCTCAGAGCGTAGGATGGTGTTCAGTAGGATGCATGGATGGCATCTCCCTAGCCAAATCCATCTGTTTTTCCATCTGAAAAACAGGAGGGCAGCAGAGCATGTTATCTGCATGATGAGAGGGTGACTGGTTATAATTAAACGTTCGACTTCTCCAATCATGGCATTTTTCATGGTGGGGAAGAAGCAAGTACTGCTGTGTTTTGTAGTAGGTGGGGCATCCATTGTCATCCATACAAATCCTGCTTCCGCGTGGTAAACATTGTAACTTATTGAATCTGCATCTGGCTTCACCCATGGTTTCTCGGACCACTGCATCTGCTGCCTGGTCATGATAGGGCTGGGGGAGGTGTGGGAGGTGGGAATACATCACCTCTGCTGGGAAACACCAGATATATAAGGCTCCACCCAATTGATGTGCCCTTTTATTGCTAAATAATCTCCAATCCCACAATCCTTTGCGGTGTGTAGTTAAGAGGGGGGCCTGAATGTGATTGTCCTAAGGGTTGGACTTTCGTTTCTGAAAAGCCATCAATTTAAGATTTCTAATGGAAAAAGAGGTCATATGAAGATTGCGGCTGTTTTAGGTGAGAAATTGAGTTCAGTACCCCTCCCAAAACATCTCCCCCCACTGTCTCAACAATGAACAGACTGGGAGCATTTGCAGAATTAACCTTTGGCCTCATTATGGCCACAGGTACAGAACAAAGGGCCTAATTGGGACCCAAAGGAGTGGCATGTTGGGATTTAAATTTTTAGCTTTCGATAGACACGCCATTTACCCAGAATGCACTGCAGCATCAGTTATCCTGGTTCATCTACCTGGGAGCGTATGGATGTTAGAGAGAGTGAGTGTGTGTGTGTCATTCTGTGTTTTGCTTTAATGATCCTGCTGGGAGGTGTTAATCG